GGCTGAACGGCAAAGGGGTCCAACGGACCCTCCCCCCCCCCCTCCTTTACGATAGACGCTGGCAAAACACCAATATGGGCGAGGGTGAAAATACAGCTGCTGTCATAAAAATTCACCTTGAATCAAAGGTCAGGATTGCCAAATTTCAGCTCTCGCAGCTATCAACAAAAATAAACATGTGGAGGCGGCACCCCCCTCCCCCCTCTCCTCTCGGCCACTGCCAGCGAGGTTTTAGGCGTATCATACACGTTACAAAGCATCATATCAAGATAACACACCCCAGCAGCCATATGCACTGAACAAAAACTTATTACCCTCGCTAGTCTATCGGCACCATAGCACATGGTCGAGACTGTCGTCAGCCACGGACGCGCACTCGACCAGCCCTCTCAGCCCGTTGACTGCGGGTGACCTTGACATGTCAAGCCTGATCGGCGGCCGGCCGCTGTCGTGCGGTCGTTACACGCGAGGGGAGGGAGACACAAAGCTCTACGTTATAGCTGACCTCTGCTGACCTTTCCCTGCGCTCTGGTCACTGACCCCGCTCCATGTCACTGGGCGGTGGCATGGCGGTGGAAACCGGTTCTAGCCTCTACACATGTCACCATTCTAACCCTCCCCTCCCCACGCTACTACGCGGCGTGGAGTACGCTCGTGCGTAACTGGGCGGAGCAAGGGGTCACGCGATACAGGGGCGGAACTGGTTGCCCTCCCGCTCGCCGAGCGACCAACGACTAATACCCTGGAGAACCGTACGTACCTTAGCGATACATACTTTATAAACTACGTAGGGTAACTATGGGGAAAGCGCACCCCTGGGTTAAACGCCTCCCCTAAAAAATTGTATTTCTTATCAACGAATATGTGTTTTATCCTGTCTTTCAGAACAGTCAGCTGCTTGTTTACGTAGGTCTGTATTTCCGGTTCTGTGTCTTGAGGAGTAGCGTGGGTAGGTGCTGATGTTGGTTTTGGGTGTTGTTTTTGTTGTTTTTTACAGTCCTACTTTATACTGTACATATGTACTTTTGCGATACGTAGGCACTTTTGTCCTTGACGTAATTTTGTCCATGGTACGTACTTTATACTGTACGAACATTTGCGATACGTACTTTTGTCCAACTTTTGTCCTACGTAGGTACTTTTGCTTACGTGCTTCTGTCCTACGCACTTAAGCGATACGTACCTTTTTTGTAGACTGTAACCCTCCGTTTCTCGACTGATAACATATCCTTCGAGTTATCGCGGTTCTGTCGAAAAAAGGATACCTACCAGTTACCACGCAGTGAGATGAGGGGCGAGGGCTGTACCGTGCACGATGTCCGACAGTCCGGAAGAGAGCGACGTGGATGACGACAAGTGGAATACGATCGTCGAGGAGGAGCCCGCGGCGGCGACCGACATCGAGCGGCAGACTTCTCTATATACAGGGTGTCCCAGAATTACCCGGACATTTATTTTCTGGCTAAAAGTACGACTGCGCTCGCTTCCAATGATATACAAGCATCATACTTTTATAAGATATCCCTTAGCTATCGAGATTGGGGACTGTGTGCTTTTGGTGGCCGGTAACGACTCAAATCAATTATTATCCAGAGTCAAGTAAGAGTAGTCCTTTTCCGTTTTCAGCTTAAGCCACTATAGGCAACCATGGTGAATCAACTCCCGTTCTCAACTTTGTAAACGGACTTTCGGCATGGTTTTTTGCTGGAGAGCTTCAGCAGCTCATCTGCAAGCAGTTAGGATTGAGCAAAGCGCAATTATATCAGCTAACGAAGCCAGAGAGAGCAAGAGATAAACCTGATTGACAAGCTTGGGCTCGGCCAAAAAGGGCCATGCACCAGTTGTCAAACAAGTGGTTGCTTGTCATAGACAACAAACGTCACCGATCTAGCTAAAAACTAGCTAAACAATAGATCAGGATTATCTACAAAACACCAGTCTACTTTGCACCACTATCTTCGACAAAATTTTGGAATTTGGGGTCCTTCGCCGGAAAAAATATATGCGAAAACTACGGGAAAAGCAGCGCAAATCACTACAATTCATCCCAAAAACATAACATATACCTACAACAAAACAGTATTTTGAGGCACACTTTGTGGTCTAACGAAGGTAGGTATTATGTCATATGAACCGCCCGAAAAAGGCTTTTGTGAACGTCAGATGGCTACAACGCCCCAACAGCAGAGACGGCCAAGCACCCATCGAAAATCAAATAGTGGAGACATTTTGAGCCACCGTGCACTCATTGGGCTTGATATCAGAAATGATGGCCCAAAGACAACCGTTAGCACAGGGTAGGGTAAGGTGCCTAATTAGCGACCCTTTCCGGTTTACGACCTACCTCCCTACAGAAAAACTGGCAGGAGAAAACGGGGTAAAAGTATCGTCAAAAGGTCAGCCATACTTTGGTTATCAAATTAATTTTTTTTTGAATTTTGCTCCCGACAGGGTCGTCGATGTTTCTGGTGGGACGTTTCAGGTGAGTTTAAATAGAAATGACGAGTTTCTTATCCAAAACGTGTGTATTTGGGCCCTCTCTGATGAAAAGCGATGCACATTAGGATGATGCACCTTTTTTATTCTGAATCGACATTCCTTTTTCAATTGATTGCCGTTTTCCCATAGTGAATCGCTCAACTGTGCACAGCATGGCGGTTTAAAATGTGTCGCAACTCATATTTCCTATTTGCGCCTGACATGGTCGCAAATAGCTCAAGAAGGGAAAGAAAGGGGAAAAGAGAAAAATGAAAATGGGATGTTGCTGAAGCTTGCAATGTGTGGCAGGGGATGCCAAATGTCGTCACCGACTGCAGGGGTGCCGAATTCAGCGCGGACCTCGAATATCATACGAGATAGCCCGCAAAATTTGGGTTTCCGCCTTCTTTTCGCCTTCGGTGCATCACGTGATCAGTGTTGGATAAACGTTCCTGTTCGAGTGATTGAGTCTTTGCGTATCGGTTACCTTTTTGAGATCATATTTCATCTCTTCAGGCGTCGCATTTTTTGCCATTTTTAATATGGGGAAACCCATAGACTTATTAGCGACCCTCCCCGGTCGCTAATCGGGAAGAGTTCCCTATTAGCGTTTTTGCAATGGTTTGCCAAAATGCTCACTACAAATACGTTAGTGAATATTGGGGCAGAAAATGACTATGTTTTAAAAGAAAAATGAGCGATCTCTGCGAAAATCAAGCCAGTAATACAGTGGCACCCACAGAGCGTGAGCAATGACGGTTCAAAATAAGGGGGTCGCTAATTAGGCACCTTACCCTACTACTGCGGTAATATTCTACCAGTGCGAAAACTGGATGCCGTGAACCAACTGGTCATGAACGGGTTTGTTTTGGAAACCAAATCTGTTGGAAGCCAAAGGTTGTGCAATGTTCAGACATGGAGCTTCTCCACTCCAGATGTAAAAAAACGCAGCAAAAGTGGCGTAGGCAGAAATTTTTGCTTTGGGGAATAATACCTTATGGCCTGGGAACACTTTGATGTCAAGTTTATCTTATATGATCGTATTATCCTCCGGCAAGAGGTCAAAGAAAACAGGCCTACGACCAGTTTCGGGAGACCCGTAAAACAACTGAGACCAGCAATGGCTGGCATTTTCCATCATTGTCGGCTCATGATCTTGTAACAAGCGTATCTATTGCATGTGCTATTTCACAGCCACCCTAGTTGACTATATAGGACGGTAAAAAGAAAAAAGCGCAATCATGTTTGCCTTATTTTATACGCTAATTAACAATGTCCGGGTAATTATGGGACACCCTGTAGGTACCGTGCGAGCGGCATGGACGGCTGATCGCCACTACCGCCGCCGGGGGCGCTAGTAGCTCGGCCGCCAGAGGCGCTAGTGTAGCGCCGAGGCTGCCGACGGGCTGAAAACGCTTCAAGTCGTGAGGTCGAGGAAGGGCAACGGGTGAAGCGAGGGAGCTGGACTGGAATGAGTTGCAGGACACGGACTAGCTCTGCAGGAATGACTGAGGTGTTCGCCAGCGTGTTCTTCTGCGTGAGAGGGCAGTTTATGCTGTGCCGGATATCACGTGTTTGAACTTTGAAGTTACATAGCTTTTGCTAGATTTCACTACAGTCTGTCTACAGTTTGCATCTATAGTTATGTACCACATAACTTCATGTACTATATGTTGCACCGCTGCCGTAAAACGTTCTCTACCACAAGTCATGGGAACGTAAAAAGATCTGTCTTTACTATAAACGTTTTAATAGGGGATAGCTGCGGTAGGTGAAAACGCCTAGGTGACCTTCAAGGTCGCTAAGGTCACCTCAGGTCACCATCTTCAAAACAACTGATGAAATCGCATATAGCTACTCTGCTGGTGACGTTTTCGTCTCGATCAGCGGAGCGGAGTAGTGTGACTGATTTTAGAATGGCTGCAAACGGCGAAAGCGTCCAAATGACCTGTCAAGGTCACTGAGGTCACCTGAGGTCACTATATTTAAAACGACAAATAAAAGCGCAGATTGTTATTCGACTTAAGCTGCTTTTAACTTGCTCAATTCGGTGATTTTCAAGTTATGGGAAAGCTGCAGAGATGTCGGTCAAATAGTGATGCCCATCCTTGTGTTCTTTGGACTAGTTTACGTAGAGCATTCGGAATAAGTTGGCAGGATCCTTCAAGCCCCAAAAGAGCCTAGCATAAAAAGACTAGTTCAATACGCCTAGGATTATATTTTTTTACGATTTCGGATTTTTTTTTTTCAAAAGGCACAATACTCATTATTTTCTAGTACTTTGCTGTTTTAATTTCAACTCTATAATCTTACAGTCGTTTGAGTGAAAAGGGAATGTAACATTAGCCTAGTTTTTATGCCCAGGTTCCCTTGGCGAGTCCCAGGGCGAAGCAAATAGGCCAAAGCATTTGGTAGCCTAATATTTGTTTTTGCTAGCTTGGAAAATGACTTGTCTGATTCCACCTTTAGTTCAGTGTGAAGGGAAGTGTTTACGATTTGATCGAAGACGACTCGCTGCCAGTCGCGGGGCGCTCTGCGTGTTTGGAGTTTGGGTAGTTCGGGCGGTGGAGAACTTGTGGTGAATTTGTTTGTAGAGGGATGTGCGAGGTCGAAGTGGTTACTTGTCCAACACAAGGCACCTAACATCATTTATTCAGTTCAAGCTAGATTTGCAGCCCTGATCGAACCATTTTCGTCTGAGAGTAACTCAAGCAGAGGTGAGGTGAGTGCTGTCATCATTTTTGTTCCTGTTTCAGGTTTGGTCTTATGTTGTCGGTGTGCCTTTTTTGATACATTTATTAGATTAGCAGTTAATGTGTTTTATGTTATGCCAATTATTTAATTTCAGTGCTCAGTTTTTAAATTGCAGAAAGTGTTATAACCACCCTGCGGCTGCTGCAGCCTGTGACCATAATCATTCATTATTGCAATTGAGCAAGCTATGTGCTATACAGATAGTGATGATGCTTCAGGTTTAATGCATTGAATTTTGTACAGCCCAACTTGCATTCACTTTTGGGATTGATACCTATCTAATATCTTTAAGGTAAACCCAAATTTTTCCTTATTTTTCAGACATGCTGTAGCCAGAGCGCAGTGTCAGTGACGCAGGCAGCAGAGACAGCTGGTGCCAGTGCGTGATCTTTGCTCACGCTGACTCAGACTGAGTGTGCAACAGCCATGGAGCCCGTGAGCATCCAGCTGCTGGAGAGCATCGCCAAGGACCGGGATGCCAGCAGTCTGATGGCATCCCTGTTCCAGACAGTCACAAATGATATGAAGGTGAGGAGCCTGGAATGGGAGATTCTACCTGCCTTTCAACATTATTTTTTATTTCATTCTGATTTGTTATTGGGAGGGAAGAAGCAATAGACACTATATGTGCTTTTTTATGTCCTTTGGTATTCTAGATATGTATGCTTTCTGTGGAGAAATGAATGCCTTCTCACCAATGCTCCTACCCATCCCCTGCTTCTCACACTTCTGCTGAAGACCTGGGTACAACTGACAGCAATACATTATACAGCACACACTTTGCTTTTCATCAGGTGGTGTGCACTGCCAGACAACAGCTGTAAGCTCGATAGTCAACTTAGAGCTAGGACGGTCCAATTAGACTGCCTCGGGGCTCGCGGGGTCAGCGTCTGCCCACGCTCGCCGTACGTTGCCCGAGCTGCCGCTCTCGGCTGCGAGTTGCGTCTCTCGGCCGCATCCAACTCAGATGGACTCGCGGCCTTGCGGGCCCGTCCTCCGCCGTGATGGCCTTGAGAGATGAGGTCGGTCGGCCCGTCAGTGGGCGGTGCCGGCCGCCCCCGCTGGCCGCTGGCCGTTCGTCTCTGCTGTGTGCTGGCCGCTGGACGGCTCGTCCTCGCTGCTCCAGATTCGTTCACGAGCGCCCCGGGGCTCTCTGAACCTGAGTTTTTTTGTCGTTTCTGAGTGTCGTTTGTGAGTTTATGTCACCTATGAGTTTGTGATTGAACACCAGTTGCCAGTCGACTAGTTACGACACCCTGAGTATCTGAGTATTCATGAGTATCCTGACTTATCGCGAGCGGCTCCATATCGTTATCGGGTTCGGTACCTATCGTCACAAGTGGGAGCGACTGTGTGTCGTTAGTGGACAGCCGGTGCACTCCCCAGCGAGGTTGGCTCCTCTCGGCCGTCTCTGACTGTCGCTGGTAGCGGCCGCCTGTTACCACGGCGGTACGAGTGAGCGCCGGCGGACTGACGGCCAGAGTCCGCCCGAGTGCCGCTGACAGACCGCTGACAGACTGCTGTCAGACGGCTGTCAGACTGCAGCTCCGCCAGACTGCGGCCGCAGCCGTGCCGAGCAGAGCCGAGCCAGGTCGGTCGGTTACCCCGCGTCTCTCTGCCAGCGGGTATAACTCCCTCGGCTCCCCTGCCCCGCCCCCTAGCAGATCAAAGCCGACGCGCCAGCCGCCGTAACGTCTACTCAGGGCGCTACGTGCCGGCGGGCCTAATAGAAATCCGCCGCCGCAGAGGCCAGTGACCCCAGTCTTACGCCTCGGTGTGGCCGCTCAACACACGCATCGTCAAGATTAAAGGGACCCTCCCACCTTAACATTAGTTTTGAGTTGAGATAGCCAAGTTTGCGGCCAGGCTCAGAAACCACCATTTATCCTGGTCGCAACCCCCGCAGCTTTATGGTGTTCAAGAAATTTCTTCCCTTTACTTGCAGGGTGGGACCAGCGTGGTCCCTATCTCTTAACCATTACGGGAATCTGATGACGTCAGCAGGCTTTCGAACGTCCGTTAAATGTTTGACTAAAACGTTTTGTAGCACGCGGTGGTATATGCTGCTTTGCGCGCAACAAATGCTGCACTTTCAAATAAAGTCGCTAGCAACAGCGGAGTTTCCAAAAAGTAAACAAAAGTAAAAGTCTAATATCTTAAAAACCGGTGAATATTTTTCGATGAAATTTGGTAGACATTCGTTTTTGCTCTTTCTGAACCGAGCGACATCACTTTCATGCCAATTCATTAACTTTTTTGAAGGTGGGAGGGTCCCTTTAAGAGATAACCTGTCCACAGAGTTTATATACTCTGGTACAGAGGGAGCGACGTAACGTCTCTCGTCGCTGAAGACCTTCTTTTTCTACACATTTGTTTGTAGCGTTTCGGTGTCCAGGTGGCTGTCGGAAGCTGGGCCTGTTTTGCAGTGGGCGTGATCGTACTTCCGTCCGCACCTGGACACCATTTTTGGCACTACAGCGCACTCAATGCGCGACGCTGGCCCTCCACCCTCTGGAATCAATGGGACGTTATTACGCGCCGGAAACCCGGCCTACACGACTGCTGCGTGGTCGCCCTGTGTCGCCGGCGGTCTCCGCCCTCGGACCGTATAAGGTGGACGGCGGCCGCGCCTGCGTGTGGCGCCTTCCGCGTGTCACTGCTGGCGGCGCTGGCCGTGCGTCTCTGCCGGGGTCCTGTCAGATGCAGGTCGCGTTCGAGTGTCTTCAGGACTGGGCTGGCCGGCCGCGTCCGCTGTCCTCAGGACACAGGGCGGGCCGGCGGACACATGGGGTGGGGTGGCTCCGTCCGAGCCACCCCACTGTCCGAGCCACCCACACTGGCGCTGTCCTTAGTACGCGAGGCGCGTCGACAGACACAGGGCGTATCCGGGCGTCGGCTCCGATCTCGGCCACATCTCGGCCGTGTGGGCGGCCAGTGTTTCTCCGATGGGAATATCGCGTGAATCTGGCCCGCTCGCCGGATCGGAGGGATCTGACCGGTCGGGAGACACGCCACCGACCTCCACCGGCCGCCGCCCACCGGCGCCCCAGATCCTGCGGTCATTGTTTATCACCTGATATCGGTCATCTGACTTTGAGCACCGGCAACAATCTCCGTACTGTGATATCGTCCGTCAGACAGGCTTATGTGACTCGCCTTCTGGGCGCACAAATCACCGCTCGTCAATTACCTGCCGGTCATTACTGCTCGCCCATCATCCGTCCCCATAATTACCTGTCACTGTGTCTCGTTAGAGCGGCTATAAACACCAGTACCGATCCGAGCCGTCACCTGGCCCTGCTTCGTTGCACAGTCTGCACATCGTTTACAGGTGCATTGGCGGTCTGCTCCCATGGAAACGTACATAAGTGACATTACCCATTTTGCTTACGTTTCCATGGAAATCTAGCGACAATATCTGCCAGCGTCGGGTAGCGGCATGCCGTGAGACAGGGCCCTGAGCGCTCGTGTGACGTCATATCCAGCTATACCATCACCTCTCGCTGATTTCTGACCGGTGACCGGCGCCGAGTCCCCGCCGGTCATGGCCGCCCGATGTCCATCGGCACGGTCACTGGGTCATCGGGACCGAGCGGCCGGGTGGGCCACTCCACCCGGTGATGAAATTCGGCACCGCCTTGCGTCATGTGGTGTGCCGAGATGTCGGTGATGGGTCGGTCGCCGGGGACCGCAGGGATGGTCTGCCGTCGATCATGAGCAGGACTGTGAGCGCGGTCTTTCCGGGTCACTAATTATGGGGACGGTCTGTCGTGGTGTGGGATTGGTCGGTCAGCGACCGCGGGGATTACTGGCCACTGGCCAGCATTTAGGCCCTCTCAGAAGCGGAGGGATGGATTGCAGCTGGATAGTCGCGAAGGAGAACCACGTAAACGCACAGGCAACATGAAATTGAGAGGACGGCATCTGTTGGTCCGGTAGCTGATGGTGTTATGTCCGCTATTCGGCTCAAAGGGTCCTCTGCTGGTCTGTGAGTCGGTATTTTGGGTCCGTTTCTGATCTTCCTGATAACTGTTTCTGAGGCACAAATCAGCCGCACAAATGAAGTACCGGAGGCACTGTCGCCGTCTTTACCGTCCTTTGGCCTCATCAAGAGCCACGCCGAGCGTTTAGGGATCATTGGATTGTTGTTCAGTTCTATGCAGTCAGCGGCGCCAGGTCGGAGCTGCTGATGTCTGAGAGTGACGACTGACGAGTGTTGCTACGGACGGATCGCGTGCCGGGACGATGAGCGGAGAGGATCATCCTGATCCCTGACCACACTGTGAGGGCGATCACCCTGTGGTGATGACGCACTTTTCCCGGGACCGAGCTGATACCAGTCGTTATGACCACAAAGGAGCCTTCTAATGCCGTCAGTGTTTACCAGCCACTGGTACACAACTGAGATGGTGCTCTCAGTGTTTATAAACGGATGAGGTGTTTGGAAACACTCCCCTCATTTGGTTCATTGGCGTTCGACAGCAGTTAATTGGAGACGTCTGGCTTGTAAGGACTGTGTTGATTGTGCTGTTAATTTACATTAGTCGTATTTGGGATCATAATTGGAAATCGTCGTTCAATAACGATTTGTTATTGACGTGCTGTCAGTCTTTGGAATACAAAACAAAATGAACATCACTATCAACAGTGCCACTCCGCCACCCACCTACCTTTACAATACCTGGCCAGTTGGCAATGGCGGCTGTCGTTCAATACCGACGCTCGGCGTGGCGGCCACCGCCGTGGGCTGGTGTCAGAAGCCGCGCGCCTGACTCCGCTATTACACCGAGTCGGGGTATTTCTCGGTATTGGCCTCCTCTGAGGGAGCGGCCGGCGGGGTTTAACGGTAACCTATCCGGCGATATTGCAGAGCCGTCTGGACTGAGCTCAGGCAGTGAGCCGTGACTGGACGGTGGTCGAACAGGCTGGTCTGTGATAGAGTCGTGATTGGATCGTGGTTGGGTCGTGGCTGGACTGACACCAAGCAGTGGCTGAACAGTGATTGAAGTCCAATCCCTGGAGTTGGGCAGCAGTTAGTTTGGTCGTGTATGTGTGTAGTGTAGTGTGTATATAGGCCAGAGCTGATCAGGGCTCGGTCACGTCTGCACAATATGTCCACTGTCTAGTCCGTGGCCTTGCTCGTCGGTTACTGGGACAGTTTTATACTCCACAAGACCAGCCTTTTCTCGTCCACCGACTACATCAGACCTCCACTGCCCGCAGTGCGCGCTCGTCCTGCCTCTCAGTGCCCCGGCGTGCCGGCGCCGACCGGACCGTCACCGGTGATGTGTTTATGTTCGGCGGCACGGTCGTCCGGCGCCGGAGCACTGTCCTGGGAACTGCCAGTCCTGCAGACATTTCTGTTGACTTGGTGACGAGGGGGCAGGGGCGAGGGGCTGCTCTGTCACTCAGACGACGCGGGGCGTGTCCTGTTTAGAACCGGCCGGCCACACCCGGCCTGCAGCGTGTGCTATTGCGCGAATCCACGGTAAGGCTGCATGATGGAAATGTGATCCCGCACTGAGACATAGACCTCTGTATACCGAGAGTCTACAGGTCTAGGCATACAGAGGGCTATGACTGAGACAAGGGTACGCCATTCCTGAGTCGTCAGGAGGGTAGGCGGGGGCGCCGAGACCCTGCATGTCGCTCCATTAGCATCCAGGCTCGACAGGCGCCAGTCTGTTTACTGGCGACGTTCAACGGTCGCCGCGATCAGGCGTCTGGTCGGACCCGTGTCGGCCGATTTGTGGAGGTAATCCGAGACCCGGCCGGGTGCTGTGCCTGGATCGGGTACCGGCGGCTGGTGACTGGTTAATTGCCACTCCAGCGAGTGTCACCGGCGGGCCGTGGTTCTCGAAACGCCGGCCTGCTCGACAGTGTTTGTATCTGATGGCAAACATCTACCGGTAGTGTTACTCATGCTGTGGGCGTAGATTAATGCAACATTGATTTATGCTCCTTGAAAACAGTTCATCATATAGGGCAGGCTCTGCGCTGGCTATGGATCGTCGAAGTGAATGGTTTCTACAGCTCCGCTACTGTTATTTTAACCAGCGTTATAAAAGCTCTTTAGAGCTCTGTCTCCCCTCGCCGTTTGACGTGCTAGGTTTTTATGTTCTAATTATCGGAGCTCCGATGAACATTATCGGAGCTCCGATGAACCCAAGTTTCGGCTGCACGATTGTCACATACATATGGTGGACGTATTTTGAAGCGCCAGTTTCTGCCATCGCTGGTGTTTACGGCTCTCTGTGTTTGGAGTAGTTGGTAGTTTGTTTTAGTTTCCCGCTCTGTCCACCCGTTTTAAAAGTCGCACCCGGTGGCGTGTTTTCGCGCTCGGCACCGCCAAACAGTGCTGACTCGATGATCAATACGTGCCTGTGGAGTCGGTCGGACCGCCGCGCCGTCCGGCACAACAGACCACGTGCGCTGCCATTGGGTCCATCTGTTTTTCATATACCGTAACAGTTTACAGAGTCATTTTTAAATACATCACAAAGGGACGGAACGCCAGGCTCCCACCGCACAAAGGTCATGAGACTTGTTCTGTTGTTGTAAGTATGGTGCGTTTCCAGTCCCATCTGTTATCATTTCTGTATGGCGAGAGATGTCGATAATGATACTGCCAGTCGTCTGTCTGTGATGTCCGAGGTCTTGGTGTGTGTAACCTATATTCTACCGTCTATAACCTCGTACAGTCTGTCTTAAAAGTACCGCGCAAAGTGACGGTGGATCCATCGAGCCTGACAGAGCAAGGGCCTGCTAAATTTGGGTCACCGAAGCAATTGACATCCTTGTCCATTCCCTAGGTCAATTGGTCGGTGACTTTTAAATTAAAACAGTCCCTTTCTCGGTCAGGCTTGATGGATCCACCGTCACTTTGCGCGGTACTTTTAAGACAGACTGTACACTGCCATGTGTAAACACGTGGTTTAGATACTGTGTGTTACTCCGTACTCTGCCTTGTGTGACCTCTTGCTCTCCTTCGCCTAACCCCGTGTCATTCCGTCTGTGCCCTCAGAGTTCGCAGCCGGTCTGGGAGGACTTCGCCAGCAAGGCCGGCAAGCTACACACCTGTCTGAAGTAAGTCATTGTCTGGGTTTTATTGCATGAAGACTTGCGTTCCTAAATACTTGCGTACGTGTGGTTGCGAAGTGTAGTCTACAGCATTAGCTCATGTTTTTCATGCACACATGTTTGATACGTCATCGTATTTGCATCTGAACCTCGCCCTTCTGGACTTCAACAGAGCTCTTTATACGCTGTTTCTTTCCTGTAATGCATCATCTTTTTTCGGTGTTCTGTGCGACTGTTGGCGAGGGGCCGATGTAAAGTAACACCGCTGTGTGAAGTAGCCCGTCCGTCTCGGGGTCCGACCTGCGGCCATCGCGTGATCCGCGCCGTGTTGAACGCCACTATCGAGCGATCTGACCTTTGCAAGGCCGCCGGAGGTATTGGCGGCGGCGTGACGGCGATTGTTGGCTGTCGGCCGCGGGCAGTCGGACAGGGCCGACCTCATCCCCGCTGACGTGGTAGAGTCATCAGCACGGCCGCGGCGGGGTCTGCTGGGTGACTCAGAGAGAACACGGAATGGACATGCTCGTTTATGACGTAGGAGGGATAAACATTATACTTACCTGGTAAATTGGGTTGATAAATTCAGACATGATGATATCAGCTCCAGCTGAGCCGCCCCAACAAATGTAACGTTTACTTTGATCCGGATTGCGCTAACAAGGACAAGTGTTTACAGCTTGAACTCCCTTCATCTTAGTTTCGATCGTCCCATTTTCATGAGTCACGCTTGAGCCCTAAATGAAAAATTAGCTGGCTCCCTCTGCCTATGCCTTTGTGATGGTACTTGACCTTCTAAAACATGAGTAGCTAGCTTCACAGTTCACACTCTCCCACGCCGTACTGGCAATGAACCCCGAGCGCAGGCCTGACCGGGCAGTGCTTGAATGAAGACAAATAAAGTTTTCCCGTTACGCATGCTTTTACCAACTGAATGACTATAAGTTCCATAATTGATCCAACTTCTTTTCCCGTTACTATCTCTTTATGGTAATACAAAGTGACAAGATTCCATCTAATGAGCCGTTCACTGCTCACTGCCCATATCTCATCATCAAGCATCGGCCGCACACCCTAAACTGTCCACCTTTCTGTCCACCCTGAGCTGAGTGGGTGCTGTGACCCCTGATCGGTACCTCGATGGCCCTAGCCTCTGTGACCTTCTACAGTACATAAATAACACTCCCGGCGCCCCACTGATGTCTTCTGTCAGTAATGGCAGTGCACAGCACGGCTCACTGTACACTTAGGATCCCATTTTACAGTACACACGACAGGGTTACATCAGAAACAGACACTAAGATCGTCACTGTGCTCAGAAGGTGCGCCGCCGTTTCGCCGAAGGGGGCAGCAGAGGTTGGCCGCCACATCTTCTTTTCAGCGTGGAACGGCTTTAGTGTTTAGTGTGTACGTGTAGACCCATGGGCGGATCCTGAAAGGCTGTCTTGGACGCTAGGGGGAGGGGGCGCCCTCCAAAACGTTTCTCTAAAGCCGCGTTCCCACTACGACCGTTCAACATCGTAAAGTAAAATAACGGGAGAAAATCGACAAGAACGGCAAAATCACAGCATGCATTTTTACGATCTCTGCCGGTGGTGGTGGGAACCGGGTATTTGACACGTGTTTTCGGGTGGAGGCATTTGTAAAGTTTTGAAGGTTTGCTCCCCATGTTGGTTGGTTGGTGAGGTCGCCAAAAAGTTGAACAGTGTTCAACTTTTTGAACGTTCTTGAAGGTTTATGCAGATATTAAATGACGCTAAGGCCGCGTTCCCACTACGACCGTTCAACATCGTAAGTTGCAAGAACGGGAGCAAACGGACGAGATCGTTGATCTAGAGACTTTTCTAAAAAAGTTGAACACTTCCCTAGATCTGGTATACGGGGCAAGATGGGGAACCATCGTGAGACATCGGCAAACGGCTTGGACAAAGCCAGTTGAGAGGAGCGATGATGAAGGAGGGATCGGCACAATAAGCTATTGTAAAAAATTATGTTCGAAATTTAGTTGGCGTGGTTGAAGATCCCATGCAACTGAATGAATGATACAATTAGAAGACCCTTTAAATTTATTAACGTGTAAAAAGCACGCGAGCATTAGAAAATATATCAACAATGCCAGCGAAAAGCATTCACAGCTGTGATAGCGACCAGGTAACGACAATCTATTGACTTTTGAAATGAAAATGTGTGCAGTTGATAAGATAATTCATTGTGGTTTTCAAATGAATAACTTCGGGAAGCTGTACCTAACCGATAAATTGCAAGTTCCGATGATTTCTTAAGCAGTTTTTTATGGTAATCCTCGATAAAACATTTAGCAAGTTGAAGCAGGCTGCAATGGAACTGAATTTGCCGAGTGCCGACACAGGCTCAGCGATTTAGGTATACAAGTATACTAAGTTAGAGAAAGTGTAGCCGGCTTCAGCTTACAGCAGTGTCACAGCTCATGTCACCATTGTCATGTGACTACGCCATCTCGTCAGGCGATGCTAGGACTGTATAATATAAAGGCAATTATCAACTGAACAGATGAGAAACACAACTTCAGCAAGAAAACTGACGCCTTGTGCTCAATGAAGATAAGCTAGTGTATTCGAGCACAGCGGTTCACAGCAGATGGTGGCAACTGTCGACGTTTGTCTGACAGATCTGCAGTGTGGCATGGCATCACAACGCAGCAGTCTTCCAGAGGAGAGTTTGGCCTAAGCGTTTGAGATCCCAGGCCTGTCTACCTGAATCTACGATGCAAATCTTGTTAGCTGGCACGCAACCGGATGGCTACTTTGTCTATCTCCGAGATTCTGACTTCCGGAGGGGTGCTACGAGAAGAGGGAGACGAAGTGCAAGTCGCACCTGTTCTGACTCGGCGAGGGTCATTCGCTCAAGAGTCGCATGCGATGTGCATAACAAGGGCCAGACAGCCCAATGACAATCACATGCTTCGCATGTGGTCGTCCCAGTCGCATGGCGCGGTCCAGGTGGCCTTGATCCAGAAGACACTGTGATTGTTTGAGCCTCGAATGAGGCCCTCAGTGACGATCCGACGGCGGAAGCCGCGTGTGTTGAACGAGCAGTGGCCGGCCGCTTGAGGTCATAAGTGAGCGACGACGGACGATGGCCACGATTGTCGGAAATTCTGCCTTTAGTTTCACTAAATCAAGTGCTGCTACGGCTATGTATCTGTCAGATGATATAAATAAATGTTTGTTATTTGCGCCGCATTTGCAGTTGCATGACATTATTTGTAGGATTCTTATTTGCAGGCGCTGATGGTAGGTAAATGAATAAATTGCACTAGACCTACGGTAAACCTGCCGAAAAGTTAAGTTATTCATCGCTACTTAGAACTCGCCTATATCTATGTATATAATCATAGTTATGTAGCTTTTATCTGCAAAAACGCACCACCTTTCATGCCTTGCTGCTTGTCTTCTCACTTTGAATATCAAGAAACTTCCAAAAAAGGGCTTCCCCTCCTATGCACTGCCTAAAAATGCTTATTAGTATCATTTAATATCTGCACAAACCTTCAAGAACGTTCAAAAAGTTCAACACTGTTCAACTTTTCGGCGACCTCACCAACCAACCAACATGGGGAGCAAACTTTCAAAACCTTACAAATGCCTCCACCCGAGAACACGTGTCAAATACCCGGTTCCCACCACCACCGGCAGAGATCGTAAAAATGCATGCTGTGATTTTGCCGATCTTGCCGGTTTTCCCCCGTTATTTTACTTTACGATGTTGAACGGTCGTAGTGGGAACGCGGCTTAATAAGCATTTTTAGGCAGTAGAGCAGGAAGCCCTTTTTGGGAAGTTTCTTGATATTCAAAGTGAGAGGACAAGCAGCAAGACATGAAAGGTGGTGCATTTTTGCGGATAAAAGCTACATAACTCTAATTACATACATACCTACCTAGATGTAGGCGAGCGCTAAGTGGCGATGAATAACTTAACTTTTCGGCAGGTTTACCGTAGGTCTAGTGCAATTTATTCATTTACCTACTTATGACCTCAAGCGGCCGGCCACTCCTCGTTCAACACACGCAGCTTCCACCGTCGGATCGTCACTGAGGGCCTCATTCGACTTTCGAGGCTCAAACAATCACAGTGTCTTCTGGATCAAGGCCATCTGGACCGCGCCATGTGATTGGGACGACCACATGCGAAGCATGCGATTGTCATTGGGCTGTCTGCAGTCCTTGTTATGCACATCGCATGCGACTCTTGAGTGAATGATCCTCGCTATGTCAGAACAGGTGCGACTTGCACTTCATCTCCCTCTTTTCGTAGCACCGCTCCGGAACTCAGAATCTCGGAGATAAACAAAGTAGCCATCCGATTGCGCGCCAGCTACCAAGAGTTGCATCGTAGATTCAGGTAGACAGGCCTGGGATCTCAAACGTTAGACCAAGTTCTCCTCTGGAAGACCGCTGCATTGTGATGCCACGCCACACTGTAGAGCTGTCAGACAAACGTCGACAGTTGCCACCATCTGCTGTGAACCGTTGTGCTCGAATGCACTCGCTTATCTTCATTGAGCACACGGTGTCAGTTTCCTTGCTGAACTCATTAGTGTTTTTCGTCTGTTCGGTTGAGGATATGTCCTCAGGTGGACCAAATGGTGTCTCGTAAATCCGTTTGCAGGACGCACACCTGATGTTTTTGGTCCACAATGAATTGCCACAATAATTGCCTTCATACAATTCTAGCATCGCCTGACGAGATGGCGTGGTCACATGACGATGGTGACATGAGCTGTGACACTGCTGTAAGCTGAATGCCGGCTCAGTATACTTGTACTCGTATACCTAAATCGCTGAACCTGTGTCGGCAAATTCAATTGCATTGCAGCCTGCTTCAATTTGCTAAATGTTTTATCGAGGATTGCAATAATAAACTGTTAAGAAATCATCGGAACTTGCAGTTTATCGGTTACAGCTTCCCGAAGGTATTCACAGCAACACCATAATGAGTTATATCAACTGCACACATTTTCTCTTCAAAAGTCAATAGATTGTCGTTATCACAGCTGTGAATGCTTTTCGCTCGCATTGTTGATATACCTATTTTCTAATGCTCGCTTGCTTTTAACACGCTAATAAATTTAAAAGGTTTTCTAATTTTATCATTCATTCAGTTGCATGGGATCTTTTACCACGTCAACTACCTATAGGTATTCTGAACTTTTTTTTACAATAGCTTATTGTGCCGATCCCTCCTTCATCATCGCTCCTCTCAATTGGCTTTGTCCAAGCCGTTTGCCGATGTCTTACGATGTTTCCCCATCTTGCCCCGTATACCAGATCTAGGGAAGTGTTCAACTTTTTTAGAAAAGTCTCTAGATCAACGATCTCGTCCGTTTGCTCCCGTTCTTGCAATTTACGATGTTGAACGGTGGTAGTGGGAACGCGGCCTAAATTTCAAAAAGGTATGGGATCTCGATTCCTTTTGCAGCATGCACTGCTGTATGCAAACCTTCCCTTATAAAAGGATATTTGGTTTTCACTCTTCTAGAAGAAAATTGCAAAATTCATCAATTTTAGACAATGCGGGGGGGGGGGCATTGGCCCCAAATCCCCCTGGATCCGCCAGTGGACAGACCCAGTATACCCCCTCGTATGGACACGTCCCTTACCAGTACTGATTTTGTACCGAGAAATTAAAGTTTGACACTCTGTGTTGCGTTTCTAGGAACACGCTGGCAGCGGTGACGTCGTTTCTGGACGCCTTCCAGCGAGTGGCGGATATGGCAGCTGGCACTAAAGGTAGGTCGCTAGTCACTACTCTCAGTACTCACTACATTTCCTTCCAGCGAGTGGCCGACATGGCAGCCGGCATCAAAGGTGGGCCGCCACACTACCTTCCAACGGGGAACGACAGTAGTGTGTGTGTGTGGGGGGGGGGGGGGGTGGGGGGGGGGGGAGGGGGCAGCAGAGGTTGGCCGCCACATCTTCTTTTCAGCGTGGAACGGCTTTAGTGTTTAGTGTGTACGGGTGGACGGCACCAAAGGTAGGCCGCCACACTTCCTTCTCGCTGGGGAGCGGCGCTGCTGACTGACTACGATGACACCTGTTTGTATGTGCGGATGACATCACGACGAGGGTGTGTCATGAGGTGCACGATCTTTGTCCGGTGGGGAAGGAAGGAAATACAGTCGAGCGTCGCTGGTTCGAGGCCGCCGCGCCGTATCGGAAATCGTAACCAAGTACGACCGAATATCTGATAATAGAGAAAGGATGTTTAAGGAGGTCGGACAGGATGTTCAAACGCCAACACCCGATTGCCATTTTGTCCACATTTCCCTCTGGAACCTGTTTTCGGCAGCATCATGTCCCAAAAGCCCCGCTGTCAAGACATTGGGTCGATCCAGTGCTCGTTTCCCTGTGCGGAAGTGGTATCTGACTGAGCACCTCGGGGTGGGTGACAGTCGTTGCCGGCTCATTGTAAAACACCTGATACGAACGACACGTGGTCCTAGCGCTTGATAGCCGATACGCGATTAAGCGCTCTACGAAAAACCCCAACAATGCACACGACGTGGAGTTCGTCTGCATTGGTCATACCAAACTGGGAGAGATATTTTGGCATATTGTCAGCAGCCGCTACAGGGAGCTAGCCGATCTAGACAGATTTTATCTATCCCGTCTGGAACCGATAACAACACAAAGTCTCTGAGGAAAGTCGGCCGATGACACAGTGATATGGCAGACTAGTGAGAGAGGAAGGAAGGAAGGGAACGGGGGAAAGAGACGCGCCTCTGGGTTCTCTCTAAGTAGAGTTGATTATGTTTCACGTGAGATGCACAAGTCGTTGAATTTACCGTCTGGGCAAGTCTGATTGTTCTTCTTTCCCACCTAAAGTTTTCCTCGCTATCTTCATCGGAAGCTGGAGATGCATACTATCATAATGATTGATGATGCATTGTTTCTTTCAATTCCACTTGTTTGATTGCGCTGTTAGATATCAATTAACCCTATCATATGCTTGACCATGAGCTGAAACCTGATTTTTTTTTGTGTGTGTGTAAAATATCTGTTTTGAAGGGTGTTCGTGAGATGCAACTTGCTGTATGCAATGTGGCATAATCTCAAGCCCAATTGATCCCGCGTAACGCGCACCCCATGCCCCCCAGCTCCAGTTCGAACTAGCCGGAGTGATCTATCCCACCCCGCTCCCGGCCGGTTCGACCAGTCCGGCTCCGTATTTCACCCCGGCACATAACTTCACCGCGCCGTCGTAAACCCCGACCCTGCTCGAGCGGAGCGCGGCGTCTTTTCCGCTCCGCCGCCGCGTCGATCGCCCTGTCGATATCGACCATCGCCTATCGACCGTCGGGCGATGCTGCGGCCGTGAACTGTCGAATAGTGCGGGGGTCAGCGGCAGATCCCCTGTGTGTTAGTTCCGGTGGATGCCGGGGCCGTCCGGTCCCGCCCCTAGGGTCCGATGGAGCCACATAGCCTACTGGTCAAACAGAGGGGCACGGGTTCCGTCCGGGCTGCCACAGGGGGAGAGGGTAGTCTGTTTTCTCCCCAAACGGCAAGCGCGGTCGGCGCACGCAGTGAACAGAGGGCACGGTCAATTAGACCCGCTGAATGGCTGGACTGTATTCCGGTAATGGCCAGTCGTCACGGAATGAACGCGGGGAGGCCGGCCGGAGCAAACGGCCCGTCGGACGGCATTCTCTGAGCAAACAGGAGCGCACAACACGACTTGGTATGCGAGAGACGACGCCCACTGGTCCCTGTATTGCTGTGGGGCTGTGGGCAGCATGGAACGGCTGCGATCCGTGTCTTTCCGTCGTCGCACGGTCTATAACACGGGATGGCGTGACCTGTCACATTTCCCCGATCGACTGGTCAACTGGGGTGTCGGCACCGCTGAATTTGAGGAGTTTGGTCCCCATGAATAGCGTCATTGGGACGGGGCCGCTGCGCCCCGTCAGCGGCTGCACGCTTTAAATTGTGCGTGTTGTGTTTCGACGGGCTCCTGGCGACCGTTGTCAGGTCGGCGCTGGGTCGACTTGAGGTCTAGGCTATGATGGTGTCTGGGAGGTGCTGAGCCCGCCTGGAGTCGAGGCTGGGACGGTGTCTCGTAAATACTGGGTCTGTGTTTGGTAGATGCTGTTAATCCTCTGTTAGCGCTGGGCAGTTGCTGCGTTCACGGGTAGAGTGACTGGCAAGTTATTTGGTAGTGGCTAACTGCGAGTCGGCCGGCGCTCGGCCCGTGCTATGTCGATGCTTAAGTGGCCGACGATGCATTTCGACGGCGGCGCTGAACATATCCGCTATGCTACATATCCGAGCTATGCCAGGTGGCTACGGTGTGCCATCCTCAATTAGCTCCCTGTGGTCCCCGCCGTCTGCCGTCTCCCCTCCTCCGCCCGTCGCCGCCGCGCGGTCTGGGCCGCCGGCCGACCGACCGGTCGGGGACGGTGGCGATATTTTTACCCAGCGGGGGCGGCACGCACGACGCGCACTGCGACGTGGCCATCGACCGTCGCTGCCGGCGGCCGGCCGTTTATTTGTGTACGGCTACCGGACTTCCGGATTGTGTGCTTCCTGTGCCGGCGGCGCTGCCGTGCTAGGAGAGACAGGAAAACACAGCCACCCACCCTGTCGTCCCTCCCAGCTCAGCCGGAACCCGCAGCGCTGGGCGGCGTTTTGATCTCTTTGATCATTCAATAGTTGTTGCGTCACATATCAGGCATTTGACTGCCTCCTGAGCCCGACCACATGCCAAATTGTGGACATTGTGCATGCCAGCGCGATAGAGACATACCTGCAGGCCCGAACAAACATTGCAGAATGTTGACACGGTGAGACAAGCCGATATATAACTCTAATCTCACGATCGAGCGCCATGGATCCGTGCCCACGTGTTCCGGTGCGCCTCGGCCGACGAACAACAGGTGCTTATGTGAGGTCGGACGGGATGAACATTGGACAAATACATTAATTTGCTTGTAGGTATCTGGAGCAGCGCTGATCAGATGCGGACCATACACAAAGCCACCCATCGAGCGGTGTTTTTGCTGGTGTGTTGGGCCTGTCAGTCGCCTCGCACTCGGCTTTTACTGCTGACCATCAGCGCAGAGCCGAGGACAGCCCTAAAGGCCGTGTTACACTGCCGAATTTTGGTCACGACCCTGTCGCCGAATCACGTCGTGTAGGAAATCGGCGAACAGTTCACCGACAGAGGCGACCAGTTCGCCGACAGAGCCCGATTTGCAGAAAACGGGTGGGGGGCCCCCCTTATCGTGCGCGGGTCGAAGCTGATCCATGATTCGGCGAACATCGCGAATGAATGGCGAATCTGTGGCGAATAGTCGGCGATACCTGGGCAACAAGTCGGCGCACGCAGCGACATGTCGGCGGCGACTCGGCGACTGTTTGGCGATCATGTTCGTTTATTTTAAGTTCGGCGAACGGCCACGAAATTTTCATTTTTCATGAAATATTCGTGGCGGTCGTGACGAACCGTAAAAGTCGCGCAGTGGACACCGACTGGTCTGCGAAATGACAAGACCGTGGAAGAAAGATCCCGAATCGGTCCGCGACAAGGATGACTTGCATATTCGTGCACATTCGTGTACCAAAATTCGGCAGTGTAACAAGGGCTTAAGCCGCTGGTCACTGGTGTGTCCTGACAGCGTGACACATGGACAGTCCTGAAAACCGCAGCCTTGGCGTTTGTTGTGTAAACTTCTGTTGTGGTTTGTTAAGCTCTTCGGCTCACTCATGTGTACAAGTATGGCCCATTTATCGTGATGTTTTCAAGGTTTTTGTATTGGTAATCAAAACTGTGTTTCGGACATGGCCCCATCACTCACGAGCATGGCTGAGATGGAGATATCCACCATGATTGCCTGGTCGGAACCGAGCAGAACGCTGATTGTGTCTCCTGCTGTTCAGCTATCGACAAAACTGCCGTGATGGCTCACTGATTTACTATGCAAACAACAATCATCTACTTCGGTTCTTTGATTTCTGCTGACTAGGAAAGCACAAACTTTTGCTGACGCTCTTCGTCTTTCGTTCTCTGGGGAATTAGGATGTGCTGCGCCAGCCTGCGCTATTTCGCCAACTGAACGCCGATAAACAACCATGGATAATATTAGTCAGCTTTTGCTAAAATGTCGGACACGTGACAACTCAGGTTTGTTTTTCAATAGAAAAGCACGATTCTAACGAATAGTGTTTCTATGTGGTTACCTTCGGTAGCAGTGGTATTTCCTGTACCTACTGTCAACTTTTTCAGGGATATTCAAATGTAATACTCACGCCTACCAGTGTGTGTCGCTCCTCAGTGTAAAGTCCTGGGACAACAACATGCCCCGACCTATGTCAGAGCACTGCTTCCTCTCCAGAAGTAATTAGCTAAACGCGGCCAATGCTCGAGAGAAGCTCGGACAATAATGGGGCTTGCGGGCCGAATAAACTCGAGTCGACTCACTGGCAGACTCGATCCTTCTAGATCAGCGGCGGATTAAGAACCCGTCGAGTGGATTGGTTGTTGCCATGGCGACCGAGCCTATCTGGTCCCTCTCTGGTCCCTCTGCCCCTGCAAAGTTCCTTCACCCTGCCCTATCTCAGCGACTAAACAATGTCTCGGTGGCGTGAGGCGGCTGTCCCCTCACTTCCGTGTCGCTATATCTATTGCCTCTGTCTTCCCTGGCTCGTATCTCGGTTAAGATGATGAACATAATAGAGCTCCACTATATCCTCACTCCCGTGTCGCCATTGTTACAATGTATTGCCGGGAGTCTTCCCGAGCTCGTATCTCGGTTAAGATGATAAGCATAATGTACGATCAGGGATGAGGCGCAGCTAACGCCCCGCCGACTGGGGCTGTACGAAGCCACGGTACTCGCTGGATTGCTATGGGACTCCACTGGCTTTGTGCTTTGTCTCGGTGTCTCGTGCTATTTCCTCTGTGGCAGCCGACCCAATGTGTTTTTCAGTATCTCCCTGTGCTTACTACGAACCCCGTACCAGTGTCAGTAGGTATCATTGAAACTTGTCTCTCTATTCCAGGCGCCTCGAAGGACATTGGCACAGCCCTGACCCGCATCTGTCTGAGGCACCGGACGGTTGAGGTTCGGGTCAGAGAGTGCACCAGGTGAGTGCCGGGAGTGTGTGAGACGAGTTCTGGTCAGAGTGCCTGAGACGAGTGTGTTGAGACGAGTGTGTTAATGTTTCAGCGTTCATGCTCATTTAAGTGCTAATAAATTAAGTTGTAGAGCATTGATGCCAACGTGTCGCATTCCTAATAATGTGATACGTGGTATTCATGTGCCTAATTGCCATTGATGTCTGCTCCTTACAGCACCCTGCTGGACTCGATGATTGTACCGCTACAGGAGAAGCTGGAGGACTGGAAAAAGTACACGGCGCATCTAGAGAGGGAGCACGCCAAAGGTGAGTCCTCAGTCCTCACTGAACAGTGATAGTCTGTGTGGTAGGTGTAACATTACGGGAGCAGGCCAAAGGTGAGTCCTCACTGAACAGTGATAAAGTCCGTATGGTAGGTGTAACATTACGGGAGCAAGCCAAAGGTGAGTCCTCACTGAACAGTGATAGAGTCTGTGTGGTAGGTGTAACATTACGGGATCACGCCAAAGGTAGGTCATCCCTCCCTGGTGGTCTCTGTAACTTAGGGATTCACTACGGGAGCACGCTAAATGAGGTCGGTCATCACTCAGAGAATCTGTAGTAGGAAAGCTCGCCAGAGGTGACCTCGCCAAAGATGGGACACCACTCTGATGGTTTCCAAGTAACATAAGGGGAGCGAGTCATAGGTGAGATCGCCGCTCGCAGTATGTAGGTGCTCGTTGGTGAGCTCATGCCCTCACAGTCCCAGCTCTATGGGGTTTACCAGAAGCGCCAATGCATGACGCCGGATGTCGGGGGCGAACCGGTGCGGGCTGCTAATGCTGCACAATGCCGGGTGTTGGGGGTAGTGTGGTGCAGTATTGCGAGGTCTGCTAAATGTTGGTTGGTGGGCTGACCAGCTGACTGGCTGCAACACAAGCAGGGCCAGAAAGTGACGTGTAGGTGGCAGCCATACAGTCAGCCACGGAAACTGATTCATGAACAATCACCGGTGCACGGAACCGCGGTGTGGAACATTCTGCATTACGAATCAGCAGGTTATGTTAGCATTATTCCACCTTTCCGTCATCCATTCGTCACCCGTCCGTCTGTCCGTCTGTCCGTCTGTGCTTCGGCCTGTCTGTCCTTCCCGCCTGCGTACCTGACTATCCAGTATCCATCCACCTATCTCGTCTGCCTGCCTACCGTGCGCCTGGCTCCTACCTGTATTTTCCCCTAGCCCTGCCGCAGAGCCCAGCCGCTCCGTCTCGACCGCTGCGTCTCCCCGCTCGGTAATCGGTAGGTATCGTGGCGGCGCCCGCCATTGCAGCAGCCCAGCGCCGGCCACTCGAGCTGTGTTTGCCCAGGCACTGTCGCGCACACCCAGTGACGTCACAGAGGCACCTCCCGGTCAGCGGCGGCCTATCAGTGACATGATGGCTTTGACGGCTGCACTGGGAGTGGCCCGTGTGATAGTGGTAGGTAGGTTTAGCCGTCACTGTCGCTAACACGTTCACGGAAACTTGGTCTGTGTGGTTACTGATAACCCCTTCAATGTAGAGTGGAATGGGCAGTGGTTTAGATGCAGAGGAGTGCACGAAAGGTTTGAAAACGTTTCGAAATAGCAATAGCGCAGTCCGGGCATCCTAAAATGCAAACCCTTTTAGCTCTGAATGCGGGCGATCAGCGCTTTGCCGTCATGTTTGAAGCCTTTTCTCTGTTTTGAATGTTCCGTTCGACACTGCTGGGTCCAATGTTTTCCCGTATTCTGGGGGAGTGGGTGGGAGGGTCTGTCCCAGAGGATGGACTGTGTTTGTCGCGGCGACAGAGCTGCGTGTGTGTCGCTCGGGCGGCCCTGTATGCGGCGTCTCTGGGGGCCGCTGCTGGTCCCAGGAAGGGGGGGGGGGGGCGTTCGGTGTGGGCAGACGCGTGTCCAGAGGACTGGGTCCCCCGCTTCTTGTCTCCTGAGGTCACTGGTCACTGATGGGACCGGCCTCGGGCCGCCGTTGACGCCGCCGCCGATGACTGTCGCTCTGGGTGACCGATAAGGTGACCATTGACCAGTATATGGAGCCCTCCCGACTGTGCCGCTGACGGAATTAGCGGCGGCTTTCCAGTCCAATATAACCTTTCTGTAGCTCCTTCATCCTTCCTGTAGAAACTATTCTCGGCATCCTTATGCAGTCTTGTATAGCCTCTCAACTGAGTCCGAAGTCTCGTTGGGCACGTTGACCGATCTCGGCGCAATGAATGAGTGGCTCGAACTTGAATCAGGACGCCACTCGACACTTAAATCAGGGTCGGTGGACACCTGTATGTGCTTTGCTGAGCTATAACGGTACCAGTCACCTCCCCACGGGCGCTTCAGGTGGCCCAAACCAAGCCCAGTCGATCGTATTACGATATACGCGGCTTTTATGTTTTGCCTATGTTCGTTGCCGTAATCCTGTATCAGAAGGTTGTATTACGCGTTCGTTAATGCCGCGGCCTTTTTGGCTGCTATTTTAGGGGACAATCTCGAGTCGCAATTTCCTGTTGTGGACGTATAATCAAAGAGGTAGACGCTCTATCAGTGCTTGCATCGAGCTTATTACGGAGCGAGCGAAGCGAGCGGAGTCTCATACTGAATTAAGGGAAAATCCTGAGTATGAGCGGCCGGCCGGCCGGCCGGCCGGCCGGCCGGCCGTGGGGACGCTCTTCAAAAGCTAATATCTTAGGAACGGGACATCCGATTGACAAGCGGTCTTCTTTACTGAATGTCACTTGGACGTAAAAGTTCTGTGGTGTGATGGCCACCATGCGTTCTTGCCAAACACCGCACGTGGCGCGTGGTAAAGTTGGACATTTTTTAAGAACCCCCAAAATTGCAACCTCAATAACGGCACAACGGTTGGGCCGATTGAATTGAAACTCGGTACACAGTTAGGTCTCCATCAGATAATTCATCTGCATGTGTTAAGGTTGGGGTGCTACAGCACGTACGCACGTGCAGGGGGCGCTCCCAGATCTCGAGAACGGCTGGGCCGATTGCGCTCAAATTTGGTACACGGTTGGGGACCAGTTAGTAGGGTGCCGTGCAAAAGTCAGTTTGGACCCCGCTTGCACGTGCGCACGTGCAGTGTGCCGCTTCCAGATCTCGAGAACGGCTAGGCCGATTGCGCTGAAATTTGGCACATCGCTAAAGACCGGTTAGTAGGGTGCAGTGCACAAGTTAGTTGGAGGTACCCCCTCGCAATTTCGCACGTGCAAGGCCCATCCTCTCGCTCGCTCCGTTGGTCGCCCAAAAGGCGTTTTACTGGTTATATTAAATGTCCGGGTCCGGGAGGTGCAGCTTGTTGGCAGGGTTTGGACGGTAAGCGATGTTGGGATAAGGCGAACAAAACTCCCGTTAGCCGTGCAGGTTTTGCACCCGTTGGTCTGTCTGTTGTCAACTTCACGGGTGCAAATGTTTTAAATCGAAATGGTTTCTCAATGCTCATGGTATATGTTGAAAACATTGTTTGAGTTATATTTTGCATCATATTCAAATGATCGCTTGATTAGGAATAAAAAGTTCTATACCGGGTGGCCCAGAAAAAACGTTCCCAACTTTAAATCAATATATCTCGGAAAGTGATAAAGATACAACATTGCAACTTCGAATAGTCAATGCGGCACACATTTTCAGTAAATGGTGTGATTTTCGTGGTGTTCGGTGATTACTTTTTAAATGGTTTGTGTTTCAATCATGCTATGTAAAAATTACTTTTTTGCTCCGATGTTTACTAAAAAATGTGAGTGAACGGGTCACTTTCACCCCGCGGCACCGCGGCCTACAGCCATGACTTCTACTGGCAGCTAGTCTCATTGATGGTTCGGGTCTCAGGATGACACATTCCCTCAGGCAACCACGATGGCTCTGTGCCAGCGGCATCGGAAGAAGTTTCCAGTTTTCTAACCATGTTGTGGCTCAAATGCTTTCCTGGCTCACATTCCTGGGAAAAGGTAGCTTTTCAACCAGGTTTTTTTGTCATCTGCTGGCAATGTTGTTTTTCATAAGCTTCTGGCACAGGAACCAGTCTGCTTTAGTTTGTTTTCCTTATCCGGTCGATTTACTGTTTGATCTACTGAAAGGAGGGTAATCAGCAGTAATCCATGCACTGTGCCACTCCTGCTCGAAACATGATTTGGTGTTGAAACGAATGGCATCCATGAGCACCATTTTGGCTCAGTATTTGAATATTTGGCACATAAGTGAGACAAAAATATTTAAAATAAGAAAATAAGTGTTGGTTTCATTCACGTGCTCTATTTTTTATTCTTTTTCTATAACATGGGACATCTAACCCAATCATCACTATCGTTTGACATCGGCAAAAAAAGCAAAAACGTCTTGCTTAATTTAACTCAAGATTGCCAGCTTGAAAATGATGGTCTAGTGTTATAATTTGGCATACCAATGCACAAAGAAATGACGCAAACTTGATGAAAATTTTGGATCGTTATTTGTACTCGTATTTGATATATAGGCCTCCAAAGTTCGGAACGTTTTTTCTGGGCCACCCGGTATATCCTAACGCCTGCGCATCCACCCAGCTCGGCTCAACGATAACCGTCCAACCTGCAGCGGTTACCGACTCTGGCAATCAATTAGTGAATCCTCGACTCTGCCAGACCCCCGGGGAGTGTGAGCCCCGGTCAGTCCCTCAGTGAGCCGGTCATCCCCTCAGTCAGTCAGTGTGAGCCTCAGTGAGCCCCGGTCAGTCCCTCAGAGAGCGGGTTAGCCCCTCAGTCTAGAGTGTGAGCCACGGTCAGACCCTCAGCCAGTCATTGTGAGCCCCGGTTAGCCCCTCAGTCAGGCAGTGTGTGACCCCGTCGACCCCGGCCGGTCTGCGTGGGGCTGCGTGCGGCCGCCTGGCCCGCCGGACGGGCGCCGAGGAGACGGCGGATCGATCCCCAGCCAGCCGCAGACGATCGCCAACAAAGGGGAGCGGACGGAGCGGCCGACAGCGGGCCAAGGGGCTGGGCTGTTGTCCATACCAGACTCTGGCAGCGCTGATAGGCCGCGCCGGGCGCACAGATCAGGCTTCCTATACGATAGATGGGAGACTGGGTCTCCCTGCAAAAGAGCTCCATTCCAGATGTGACTGACGCAAGACCGCCGACGGCCGGGGTCAGACAAGCGGCAGACTGGGCCCGTTGAAACCAGAACAGGCGGCAGACCACCCAGACGACAGCAGCGCATCCATCCATCTCCAGGTGTCCTGAACAGCAGCGTACTCTCTCAAAGCCTATATTATGCCCCCACACGGTTTCCAGACGCAGTACAAAACCCAGTCCGCGATAGATCCGAGCATGCCCCGGAACTCCGCCGCGGTAAGCCTCGCCTTACGCCTCAATGAGCGTATTATCGCTAGTGAGCGGGCCACGCTCCGGTTCACCGTGAATCCCGCCGCGACCTCGGCTGCGATCACGCCGAGCGAAAAACAACAATGCGTCGCCCGGTTGAGGTTCGTTAGTGCGCCAATTGGTGACAAGTTGTTTTGTCGTCGCCCGGTCCGCGTGGGCCGCTCTCCGGAGACCTGTCAGGCGGAGTGACGGTTCGCTATGACAGATGGACTGACAGTCGGGCGATGAAGCCGACAACAAGGGCCGATGCGAGGCGTCACTGCAGCGCTGCGCTGACCAGAAACTGGGCAGTTTTCTGGGAGAGGTCTCCTGGCGCTGTGCGTAGCTCGTGGCCAGGGCTGTATGTACCAACGCGCCGCACTGTTCGACTGTTCGTCTGTCTCGCGCTGACCGATAACCCAAAAGATTGTTTTGTGTTCAATGCTAACGAGAAACTAGAAGTGTGGTTAGTCTCCTATACCCTGGCTCGACCGTTAGGAGATCGTCTTGCTTACGCTGACTGCACCTTGCGCTGATGAGCTGACCTCGCTGATGAACTGGGCTGAACCAAACTTCCTGGTCCGGCTGAAAAGGGCAGGCTGTGTGGTCTCAGAAATCAGCTAGCATAACGTGTCGGTGTTGTCATCTCCCACCAGCCGGCTGGCCGTTCAGTAGCACGCCCTTTTGGGTCAACCTGCGGGGTCGGCCGGGCTCGGCAGGCGGGTCATACGGCCGAGGGGAGGAGATTTATCGACTGCCCTGAGCCGATCGACGTAAGACCGATGCATAAACCAGACCCCCTGACAGAAATGTGGACGGTCGGCCGTCCTGGAACGTGTGCCGCTGGAATTATTTGTGCCGGCTGCCAGCGGAGGAAATAGTTCACCTCAATCGTTACATTTTATGGAAGACATCGCTGAATGGGTGGGGAAATGATTAGACCAGTTCTGGTAGAGCAATGTGACTATATCTGGGCAATGCTTGTCCAATCATCATTGCCGCATTTTATAGCAAGTTGAATTATGCCTTTTGTGAGCGTTCTTTGGAGGTAAAACGCGCTCTTTTACTCACCCATGCTGTTTGATTTTACTTGTCACTCACAATTTTCGGCCTATGGCTCCGTTTTTTTTGTCCAGTTGCATGGATTGTGTTACTAAGAAAACTACGTTGTATTTAACCTGTCATCTTATACCAGCACTTTATAAGTTACCCATTGTCGTTTGCCCTATCTGTGTTTCGCGATGCCAGCTATCTACCAGTGTGTGTTGAGTACCTATCCGTGTCTGTAGTGATCACACCTATGCCGCTACTGCTAAGTGATCAGTTCTCTGTACTGACCGCTGCAACCCAACCAGGGGTACTTCAGGGTAGTGTCACCCGTTCGTCCGTCACTGACAGCCTGTTTATCCCGCCCCGCAGAGTACCGCCGGCACCGGACCGAGCTCAAGAAGCGCGCCGCGGAGGCGCTCAAGATGCAGAAGAAGGCGCACAAGCTAAAGACGCCCGAGGCGCGCCGCTCGCTGGACCTGCTACTGACCGATGTGCAGGACAGATATCAGGTCGGTGGACGGGCCGGGTGGGGTCTGTTCGAGGTGTGTCGGGGAGCTGTGAGGGCCCACTGCAGCAGCTTTAGTACAGGGCTGTGGAGGGAAGGGGATAGAGTGGGTGTGGGTCAGTGGGTTTGGGCAAGTGAGTAGCTCAGGCCTCTGCACAGGACGGTGGAGTGAAGGGGACTGAGTGAGTCTGGCTTAGTTCACTCAGTGGATTGTTATGCCCCGGTTTCTGCACTGGGCTTTCGACCGGTAGGAACAGCGTGGGTTTGGGTCAGTGGGTAGCTCACAATACTTGCCTCTGCAAAAGGCGTAGGACGGTAGAGCACTGAATGGTTGTGGGTCAGTGGGTGGCTCAGGTCTCTGCATAGGCCGCTGGGCAGTAGGGGACGCAGTCGGGGCTCCGACAGGCAGGTGCTCGGTCCGATGGCGGCTTGTGTCACCTTTTGCAGCGGCCGCGCCGGTGTGTCGGTTTACCGGCCGCTGAAGGTCGGACGTCCGGCCACCGGGGTCTGTTGCACCCCGCTGACGTGGCGGACCGGTCGCCCCGGGCTGGCTGGGTGTTGATGGTAATTTTATACCACATCGCTGGGAAAAACCCGTAGTTTGGGATAGTCTTTTGATATGATTTGTTTTCATTGAAAATCATGTCTTATTCCTGTCATTACATTACATCTATTGTTTACACTAATTCTAAGTATGCATAAATTCCGTAAAGCGTTGCTCTGATGTCACGTTTGCCATCATCTGATAAAACGCAGCACTGAGACCCTTCCACCATACGATCCTCTATCTCGATCTCAGGTTACCTACCGTCGATATCGTCGTACCTCTCCGATTAAAGGTCCTGTTTGGACACCGGCTGCCGGCTGTATCTGTATCGGTATCTGTATCGGTATCGGTATCGGTATCCGGTGCCACTCCCCGCCGTTGGTGGCAGCGCCGGTTAGGTAACCGATGCAGTGTGTGCTAGCAGCGCCGGCAACCGATGCAGTGTGTATCCGCACTGCGATAAGACGTTATCAGCCGCCCACCGGCCGGCGCGTGGACAGGTCGGGACGACACCGGGCCTTCACGGGGAGGGTCCGTGATGGTCCGTTACCGTGCTGAGATGGTCCGCTAGGTAACGCTGATCAACCAAGTCGACAGCCGATACTGACACTGAGACACTGGTTGATCCCATTAAAGCTACTCAGGCTAGGTGCATGCTTTCATGCAGTCAGCGGTATAGGATGACAGTCAATTGGTACATGTGGGTTAAAACAACAGTCCTATGATAGGACTGCGGTTTTCGTGTTCTGTGTTCATGGCTGTGACCACTGTCCAGCAGTTCCCAGTTCCCACGACAAGTTGGATGTCCCAATCTTTCGATCACCTCCGTGCTCGATATAACTGAATCTGAAGGTCATCTGTGATGGATGACGTTATAGCGCCTGTGACCCGACCACGATGGCCAGTTGTCGATGATGGGTCGTTATCGATCTGTCTGGCTGAAGGAGTAGCTTACTTAATCCCAAGTGGTCCAAATCAACGATTGCTTTAGATTAGGTGATATGCTTGAAGCGGCTCCTCGGTTCTTCAAAGGCATTCCGTCACAAAGCTCCCTTCATTCAAACGTATACTTGTATTATATGTGCACGTGCTGTTTTAATGGCTGAAGCGTGTTTCGTATTCACTAATTGTTCACTTATGAGTCAATAGTTAGAAAGTCAGGGGTGTGATAGATGTCTCGCGGAAATCCTTTCCTCGTCGTATTTTGACTTATAAAGAGCATTTAGGAAGGAAATTATCCGCCATTTGAGCTTCCGTGGTTTTAATAAAGGCCTACCTTGCTTTGCTATCGTGCTATGCTGGTGCACAGCTCGTTTTCCCATCCTGGGTTTGCATGACACTTCTAGCTAGGTTCGTGTCATGAGCGAGACTCTGATTCATCTCACAGAGTGTGGACTGTGGATGACGCCTTTCCATCGACAACTGATCAGATACGGGGCCGGTTCGTGAGGAGTTTTCTTCACCCCTACAGACTTCCCGGAGACACTTTCCTACTCGATTGGGATGATGTCACTTCCGCGAACTGTGACGTCACTATCCGGAAGGAGGCCGCCGTGCCAGACAGACAGGTGTTGTATCCCTTCTTAGTTCTTACTGTCTGCAGGACCTGTTCTGAATTCATTCCTGCGGTGCACCTGCCCTATCCCCGACTGGGCTGAAGCCGTACTGGTCGTCTTGCCGCCCCCTGCCAGAGCCTTATTATATTCGCGTGTGGAGCGCTGTATTGACGCAGTTCCGGCACTGATCCTGATCCCCCTGTCAATATCACGGCCTCGCCTGTCCCGTAGGTGGGGAGGAGGCTGTCTGATCGGAGAGGCCATGCTGGAGCATGTAGCGTGTTGTCCGCGCCAGGGCAGTGATGCGTGCGGAATATGATGATCGCTGACGTGCGGATGATGTGATGATGTGATGGAAGAGCTCTGGATGTGCGCGGAATATGGCTATTGCCAATGTTCTGAATACCTACGGAAATCGCTGATGACACTCGTCCTTACTCATAGACCCGGGAACAGGGGGGGCAGCGGGGGCGCTTGCCCCCCCCCCAACTTGAGAGCCGAGGGGGCGGCGCCCCCTCAACATTGAGGCAGCGTGAAAGGATCTTTCTTCCCTTTTCCGGACTTCTTTCCTTCTTGTTTTCCATCTAAACATCATCACACGGCATTTTCCTAGCCATCTGAATGGTTTCTGCTGATACAGTATCGATTTCACAACATCTGCTATTGTCATCCCGCTTTGGTTTGGGCCTGGCCTTGGCCATGAGTTTGGCAGGCCAGATTTTATACTAGACCATTTTTAGAAAACTTTGAGAAATATAGGTATAACGTACAACGGTGGTAAAATCGTTGCTATAATATAGATATAACACAGTTTACCCGCTCCGGGTGTGAGGGAGGGGTGTGGGGCAATGAGTGCACTGACGTGGCGTCCTCGGAAGGCCGGTATCTATGGGATTAAAGCTCAGCGACACTAAGGGCTTGTCTGATGCATTTGGTTATCGGTAGCACCCTCAGAATCACCGGCGTATAGGGCCCTCAGAGCCGCCGGTAAGGGGCCTTTAGAGGCATTGGTATGGGCCGCGATGCAGGTGCCGGTTCGGGCGCACAGAGGTGCTAGTGTGATTCTCTCAGAGGCGCCGGTGAGGGTCCTTACAGGCGTTGCTCTGGGATCTCATAGACGCTGGTGTGGAGCCGTTACAGACGGGTGTGGGGTCTTTAGAGCTGCTGACGCGAACCCTCTACAAACCAACAGGGGGAAACCCAACAGGAACTACAAACCAACCCAGGGCCTCGGCTAAGGAATTTTGACTACTGGGGCAAATCGTCAAAGTGTGTTGGCGCCCTGCTGGGGGGGGGGGGGGGGGTTGAACACCTGCGGTTTTTCCTGCAGTTTTTCGCGGATATCTCAAAAAACGGCGGCGCTCCATCATCCATCAATTCTACACGTGTTGTAAAAAATTTCAGACCAAGGTCATTCAAGATCAGGTCACCAGGTCACTTCAAGTGACCTCACCTCATAAAATGTTTCAATGTATGCCGTAGCTACACCGAGTGACCGATCGCTTTGAAACTTTCAGCGATTGATAAGATAAGGGCAACAGCATGTACACAATTTTTATCTCGGAATTTTCATATCGGTGACCTAAGGTCAGCTCAATTTTGCGACCTCTATTATAAGTCAATGGGAGAAAATTCAAAACCACCTCTTTTGGACGAAAGTCATTCTAAACACTATAAAACACTGTACGTGACTTTGACACACTGAACAGGAAAATAGCACCCGTGACCCTTGTTTATGCCCCTGAGGTCTTCTCAGTTCACGAATGGTATCTAACAGTTTTTTGCGAATAACTTTTGAAAGAGGCATGCTAGAGCGATGAAAATGTCTTAGTTGTTGTTTGGCTCGACGATGCAGATCGACTGATATGCAACATGACAATTTCCGGTCAGATCATGACCTTGACCTGAGGTCGAATTTTCAAGTTGACCTTCAAGGTCAAATTGTAGTTAATTTGATGCGTCTTGACGAGAGGAACACGATGTCGGTAAAAGAAAGCTCATGCAAGGCATGAGTCAAATGTTATTGCAGAAGAACTGTTCCCGAAAAAATCGTCTATTTTGGTGGTTTTTGCCCCTTGCAGGCAAAACCGTTGACGTTAGGTCGAATCTAAGAGAAATAACCAGAAAACATGCTAATATTGCTATCAAATGCGCTTTTTCGCGGTGCTGTAGCTCTAATTGGTTCCCGAGTTATGCGTCGGCATCTTGTAAACTGTCGATATTTGACCTGAAAATCGACGAAATTTGGCCTTCACCATGACCCGACCTTTGACCTGACCAAAAAAGTTGCCGAAATAATTTCATTTTTTGACGCTCTTTCGAACGAAGATGGATTATGGGGTGCAAAAAGATATGTTTGCCAATGCACACCTATGTTTTTGGATGGAAATTGAGGGTGCAGCTGCACACCGTGCACTCTTCCACCACCCCAGATTTCTTGCCACAAACGTCTTCAACCGCTCCCGAATGAAAGAATGTACGTTAATACGGATATATTCTCATTTTGTGGAGGTTGGGCAAAGCCTGACCACTACTGGGGCATTCCTCGACTCTACTGGGGCATTTGCCCCAGAAGTTAACATGTTAGCCGAGGCCCTGAACCAACCAGTGACCGGCACGGGGCCCTTAGGCCGGCAGAAGAAGTCTTGTGGGGTCCTTAGAGACCGGCATGGTACTGTCAGACGCCGGTGGGGCCCTCAGGGCTCAGAGTCACCTGTGTGGGGCCCTCCAAAGTTTCCAGTGGGTGGCCTTTAGATGCGCAGGTGTTGACTGTTGGGTCCTCAGAGCCGCCGATATAGGGCTTTAAAAGGCACTGGTATAGGCACTCAGAGTTGGAGGTGTGAAATGCTCAGAGACACCGGTGTGGGCCCTCATAGGCGCCGATGAGGGCCCCCTCAGTTGCCGTTATGGGACCCTCGGAAAAATAAGTGTGTGACCATCACAGGCGGGAAATGCCCCTAGAACTGGCCCCTCATGGGCCGGTAAGAACTCTCAGAGGCCAGTAACGGGCCTTTGGAGTTTGGAGACCACCGAGGGGCCCTTAAAATCTGCAAGATTCCCTCAGAAGCCGGCGTGGGGCCCTTGTTGAGATTTTAGTGTGGTTATTTAGGGCCCATAAGGTGCACTAACGAGACCTATGAGGCCATTCTGAGTCGAAATATGGTCATCGTTAATCCTCAGCGGTCAAATGGCACCGCAGGTCCTCTCGGACCCGAGGGTCCCTTTCAACCCGATGGGTGGGGGGGGGGGGGGGGGTACGTGTCCCCTTATACCCCTAACTACGCCACTGCTTCATATGCATCATGTCAGGCATTTTAGGCTCGCCCCCCCAACTTGAAAATCGTTCCCGGGCCCCTGTCCTTACTGCAGTGATGGTTTCACGAAGCCGTGACTTCCATGTTGGTATGTTGATACCGGCCCTGTCAGAATCGTGAGTGGTTCGCTGTATTGATTGTTTGCCACAGTCTCAGTTCGTGGTAGCCGGCAGGGTAGTGGCGACACGCTCAGCTGCACGCTGGGTGTCAGAGGCATTGCAGCTCGATTGACACTCACCGGTTAGTCGCTGCGAGGTAGCGCGACACCACCCAATGCGGTAATTCGCAGTGCGAACGAGAGCAGCTGACGTAAGTCAGTCGCAACCGGCAGCCGGCAGGGTTCCTTGGTTTTTACCCCATGCTACTTTGTTCTTTTTTGAGACACCAAATATGACACCTAATGGGTTTCTTGCAAACCGTTTGTGTACGTAGGAGATTGTCTAACGTCTTTTGATGCCGGCGTCGTAAAGTGGACAGTTCTTTTGTGAGAAGGCGATTAGTGGCCGCTCAATTTGACCTCGAGTCTGTCGTGTGGACACGATAAAATCGACTCTGTCCGGCGGCGGCCGCTGCTGTGTTGCTATGGTTACCGCCACGCAGTGAGTCCGTCTGTTTACCAGTCGGCTGTCGCCGTTCGCGGCCGGTCGGACCTCTGACGTCACTGGGAACTGAGCGGAGCGGCCTTGCACGCTGACACAGTGCAGGCCGAACCGTCACGGCGTGACGAGACGTCACTCCTCCCCTACAGGGCCGCGGAGGGGTCCCTGACGGACAGCCGAGCCGTCACTGACGGACAGCCGGGCCATCACTGATGGACAGCCGGGCGGTCGTGACGCAGCAACTGGCCAGTTGGAGGGTGATTGGACGGTATCGACTGCGGACTGTTTACTGCTAGCGACGGAACACCGGTCGGTCGTTCGGTCATCATTCGTGCTGTGATTGCGACTTCTACCAATCTTAGTCATGATCTCTACGACCAATCATTCGTCATACACTCGCACAGGCCCATATCAATAACTGCTAGCTACGCTAGACACTGCTGTCGTACAATTAATCAGTCTCTCCGAGTGACGTATAGTACACGGCCCTTCGCCGTGACACCGTCCCCCCCCCCCCAACCTTGGCCAGGCCAGGTCACATAGCTGGGCGGTACACTCGAGTGGGCTATATCCATCATCGATCATCATTGGCACGGCTGCAGTGTGTCGTGGGGCGCGGCGGGGCGACAGTCCGCCGCGCCCCACGACACTCAACGTGTCGACTCACCGTCGACTCAACGTGATGACCTTTTTTCAAAAAGTGACGGTTTGTCATAAGGGGTTTATTACACGACTTTCTTGCCGTGCACAACAATAAATGTTGACTCAAACGTGGTGAGCTTATTTCGGACAACAAATACCATCCACACACACACACACACACACACAAAAAATAAGCGCAATCTTTGGCAGAAGTCTTTTCTTTTCGCCGCAGTCCTTTTCCCCAACGGTACTCACTGTCTGTGTGATCTGGCAGTCTGACAGTACCTTACTATGCGTCTTTCAGCAGTCTCACAGTTCCTATGCCGGTGTTCTGACGGTGCCCGCTCTGTCCGTTCCAGCGTCTGGAGACGTGCGAGCGGGGCTCCGTGGAGGCGGCCCTGGTCGAGGAGCGGCGCCGCTTCTGCCGCTTCGTCACCTGGCTGCTGCCGTTTGTGGTGAGTCAGAGGGGATGAGTGGGAGCCACAGGGGACGGGGGTCGCCGACGCGATGGGAGGCACACGGAACAATGTGGGCCACCTGTTGAAGACGAAGCGGACAGCGGTCGGCCAGTGGTAGCCACGGGGACGGTCACCGGAGGGAGCCCCTGGGAGCCACAGGGACAATTGCCGAACTGCGCCGGGATCCGCCGCCTGCGAGTCTTCCTATCATCGCAGTCAGACCGACCGCACCGGTTCAGCGCTGTCAAAGCACCGCATTGTTATTGACTGACTATTGTCGGTGACTGAAGTTGAGTGTTTTGAGTGTTCCGTGCTCCGGTACATACAGTGGAGCCCTTGGGAACAAGATACTGTGCATTGTGATGCCGCTAGATAAATGTCTGTGTTCTGCTTCCCACTGTGTCTGTTTTTACTTTGTCGTGCCCTTTCCACACCACCGGATGTAGCCCAGTCACCGGATATAAGCCCTTCGTCCCCGGTGTAACCCCTATCCATGGTGTAACCCCGTCCCCGGTGAAACCCCCGTCCCCGGTGTAACCCATGTCCATGGTGCAACCCCTGTGTGCGATGTAACCCAGTCTCCGTTGCCGTTGCGCGGCTAGTTGGAGTCTCCACTGAGATGCAACCCTGTGCCCCGACCCTGGTGTACCCCCTATATTCTGCATTGTGGCCCGGTGTAACCCATGCTCTTGATGTCGTGACAGCGCGGCGAGGTGGCCGCCGCCGAGGAGGTGTTTCGGCTGACGGAGCCGCTGGATCAGCTGGAGAGCTGTACCGCCGAGCCGTCCGTGCTGCCCCCGTCGGCACTGCAGGTGAGAGGGGGAGAGAGGGGACTGGACTGCCCCTGTCGGCACTACAGGTTAGAGGGGAGGGGGCAGAGCCGTCCGTGCTACCCTCGTCAGCACTGAAGGTGAGAGGGAGGGGGAGAACACTGTACCGCTCGTTTGCCGCCGTTGGTTATGTAGGTTAGACGGAGGAGGGGTTTGTCTGTTGTTGCTGGTCACGAAGTCCTCACCGGTCGCGGCAGTGGGATGCAGCGGCTGACTTGACATCTATTAAGTAAGTGTTCTGTTCGCTGACCCAACCTCAGCGTTAAGTGTGCGAACGCTGACCCGACCTCGGCGGGAGATTTTCGGATCACTGACCCAACCCCCGCGGTAGGTGTACGAACTCTGACCTTACCTCCTTGGTATAAACGCTGACGGCGGCGCCACTCTCCATACAATGGTCTCCTGATGCTCTCATGGCCGACTGGTTCGTGTCGGGAATACGCCGGTCACTTGGGTGTGATGAGGTGGGGCGATGCGCTCCCGTCTGTCGGGGCCCGGCTAGGAGGATAGAGATGTAGTCCCGGCACGTCGCTTCCGACCATCACTGTATGGAACTTGTGCGGCTGGGTTGGGCTGATCTGTCAGCGCCCCAGTGGGCCTTTGTCGGCTCATTGATATGGCCTGGAGTGGGCGCACAACTCGTTTATTATATGCGGAATCACGATACTCCATGCGTATTGTGTAGTGCTATGCATTGGTCTATGATGAATTCCATGAATGAGGTGAATGATGTTTGACGAGTATCATGTTTTGTTTAAATATGAGCATGTGTTTCACGTAAGCATGCTACAGGATTTGAACGAGTGAGTCATTTGTGTCTGTTATGGGTGTCACTTAGATATCAACTGCGGTATGGTACAGCGTGGCCGTGGACTGGGCGTTGAGCAATGAGTATGACGGTGTGTGTGTGTGATGTGAGTGATTGGGTATGGTGTGATTGCTTTGTTCACTAGTGCTGCTGTCCGCCCGCTCTGTGCGCTCCGCTCTGACTGCGCTGTGCTCTGTGCCGACAGCTGATTTCAGACCTGAAACGGTCAGCGGACGGTGCGGCGGAGCCCGGTCCGGGCGGTCCGTCCGGCTCACCGCCGCGCTCGCCGCTCTCACCACGCGCCGCCTCTTCTCTCGGCTCGCGTCAGTCGAGTCTGTGCTCCATCAGCAGTCTGCAGTCGTCCAGCTCGGGCGGCGGCGGCGGCGCGGCGCCGGCGGCCGCCAGCCGACCCCGCTCGGCCAGCCAGGCGGCGGCCGGCTGGGCGCCCCTGGCCGCGCCCGCCCACCGCGTGGCCAGTGTCTCCTCGCACGACTCTGGATTCACCTCGCAGGACACGCTGTTTGTGAAGCCGGCCACGCCGCCGCCGCCGGCAGAGCCTGTGTCAGAGACGGACGGCGGCCGGACGTGGGGCGCCTCGCCTCCGCCGCCACCGCCCGAGACGCCGCCACCCCCGCCACCACCGGACAGCGAGGCGCCGCCGCCGCCCCGACAGCGACCGCACACCATCTCCAGTGGTAAGTGGCGCCCACTGGTGACACAGGTCGACCATGGCTGGCACTGGCCGGCCGCCCTTTGCGCCTCCTGCCGTGCTAGACTGCAGAGGGCGCTGCCGTGGACAAACTCCTGGCGATGTCTGGTGAACTGGTAGACCGGCTCCGATGATAAAGTCTGTGATGTGTCTATTGACCTTTCGGAGAGAAGACATAATATTTCATGTCTACCTCCACAGCCCCGGGCTACCATCATCGATTCCCTGACCGGTCCCGTCCACCGACAGGGTTCGTTCGCGGCGGCGTGCTGCAGCGGGCGCCGCTGAGTCCGAGCACGTTCGTACCACATCCGCCCGCCGCGGCTCCGCCCGTCTCTGGCCGGCCGCCGGTGCCCACCAAATCGCGCCTCAAGCAGAAGCCGCGCCGTGTGCTGAGCCACTACGCCAGTCCCGCGGAGGTGGTCCTGCCCGACTACCACCAGTCGGCGCCGCACATGGGTGAGTGCGGAACGTTAGTCTGTCTGTCCGAATGTGTGTTCGCCCGTTCGTTTGTTTCTGTCTGTCGGTTTTCAGCCGTCTGTCCACCTATTCATCTGTATTCTCGTCCCATCGTAATTCATTCAGTGCGTCGTCTGTCACTCGGCTCTTAGCTTCTACTTCTGGGTGTCGTTTGTCTGTCTTCTAATTTCGGCCCCTTTCGCCTCCCATTCCTGTTTCTGTTTCTGTCTGATAGTAGAGTAGACACCTGGTAGTAGAGCCTCCTGTCTTTGTAGCCGTCTCTTTCACTGACCCTGACGTGTTGAACTGCCGGTCCGCTGCAGTGGTGCCCCAGCCCGTGTACGCCAACATGGCCGAACTGCGAGAGATGGCGGCACTCAAAGAGGAGGAGTCGACCGCGCCGCCGCCGCCAGAGCGGGCTGCCGCCCCCGCCCCCGCCCCCGCCGCGGTGGCGGCCGCCGCTGTCGCCGCCGCCGCCGCTGCCGCCGCCAACCTACGAAACAGCAGCCTGGCGTCAGGAACACAACAAGTAAATATGAGACACTTTAGCCGATTAGCTGTATTACCAGTTAGAGGTTGCTTCGTCGAAGGCTTCATTTATGTTTGCTAGAGTAAAGCAGTCTTGTTTGGGATCCCGCCAATAGTCGGAAAGCGGCCGAGAGGGCCCAAAGAGCCACCCGATCAAAGGCCGAAGGGACTAGAGCTCCCGTCGCTGTACTTTCAACATAGACGCATGGATATGCTTCACGTCTACAAGATGTTGCTCGGCCATGCACCGACCCTTCAGATTTCTCCCACTCGATGTGTCACAACAATGAACTCTGAAAGTCGTAACTGGGTTCACACACTGAAGCTTAGTTCACCCCGTGCATGTTTCTGAGCTAGATATTTATCCTCCCCGTCCCGTCCGTTGTTCCAGTGTGAGCGGTCGGAGAGCGAGGGATCCACCTCGAGCGGCTACGACAGCGTGCACGCCGCCGCCTCGGCCGGACCACCGCCAGAAGGTAGGACACCAGCTGGGGGCAGGGGCGTCGATCCAGGCCAGGGGTTCGGCTGCGCGGGGGTGATTGAGTCCAGGGCCTGAGTACATAGGTAGTTGGCTATGTACTGAATGTTGACCCACTGCCTGGGAAATGTGTTGTCCGTCCTGGTTTTGTTTCACAACGCTCTGGGTTTACATTCGTGTTGGTTTTATGGATTGTGGCTCACATAGGCAGCTTTCTGATGTATCACGGATAATGCTCGGCTCCGGGGCTGGGGACATTTGGGCTGCGTCGCGCTTCCCCGGGGTGTGTTTGCTCAGGGCCGGTTGTCAGTGCGCCTGCCGGGTGTACGGGGTGTAGTCGGGTAGGCCGGTGTCCGTGTTCCCGCCGCGGGTATTGTCTGCCGATCTGCCTGTTACTGTATCGTGTGTGTATGTGACGGCTCCGTCCGCTGTCTAGCGCTGCCGCCGCCGCCCGATTTCGTGCTCTACAACTTCTGCGAGGAGCCCGAGGAGACGGCTGGGTCGGATCGGACGCTGTCGATGCCAGCGCCGCCAGGTGAGCGCGACGGGATACAGATGGTCCGCGACTACTCCCTGACAACAGGGAAGTCATGCAGGTGCAGCTATTACGGCATAAGTGAAACACTGCGGGCCGTCACTGGGTGAGCTTGCTTCTGATCGTCTGCATTCAGTGCATTTCTTTGGTTCCAGATTTTTCTCCAAAGGCTCCCAAAACCGCTGTTTTTCGCTTACTTCTCCGCTGCAGCGCTTTGAATCTGCTCGAAAACTATTTATCCCCTGACTCTATTGTTCCATTGTTCTCGTGTCACTCTTTCCCCGCCGCCCCCTCCGCTGACCCTACTCCCTACCCTGCCCCCCCCCCCCGCTGACCGTGCCCCCTGTCCTGTCCCTCGCTGACTGTGCTCCCTGTTACAGATCCGCCGGACGTCCGCCCTGCCCCGGCGGTCGGTACGCTGCGCCGCAGTCGCTCGCAGACCAGCTGCCCGCCGGCGCCGCCGCCTCCGCCCGTGCGCCGCGAGTCAGCGGCCGGGCCGCTGTACTCGCAGCAGCAGCGGCGGCCGCGCTCGCTGGCCGGGCCGGGCGCCGCGCCGCTCTCCATGCCGCCGACAGCTGCTGCCGAGAGGAGCTCACCGCCGGACAGTCCGGTGACGCTGCGGCGCGCTGCCGCCACCCGCGACCCCTCGTTCCTGCAGTGTCTGTCGGCGCGTCTCAGTGCCGGTAGGGCGTCCGAGCGGGCCTCTGCCCCCGTCCCCGCCCCCGCCGCCGCTGCTCCCGTCCCCGCTGCGTCCGCCCCGGGCCCGGCGCCACCCCGGCCGACCACAGGGGAGGCAGTGACCTCCCCACCGCCCCCGCCGCCGCCTCCACCCCCATCCCCACCGCCCCCACCCCCGGGTCCCGGCGCGCCGGGCCGCCGGTTATAGAGCTGCTGTGTAGTCAGTTTTGGGAACAGACCAGAGGTGTACCGCGGGACAGTGGTTCCACGCTGCGCGGTCCGACGGAAATTGTTCAGAGTGGACGCGTTCTCTATGTGATTCTGTGGGTTAGCCGTTCGCCAGTCGTTGTGCAGTGAGTGGGTAGTGTAGTGTTTAGCGCACTGTTGGGGAACCGTGCCTGCGCCATCCGCCTTCAGTTGGTGGCGATGCCGCAGCGGGCGGGCGCTGCTACTGTAACAAAGAACTGCCTTTGACCTAGACAGTACTTGGGGAGTCTGAGCGACCATCACACTGCGCGGACTGGTCAGCGGGGCTCAGCATTGTGCGTTTGAATGTAACGCAGCTTACCGTAACGTAACTGACACGTTCTAGCCAGAGGTTGCAATAGTTGGAAGCGAAGCCAAAGAGAGTCGTGTGCGCGTGGCGATCACAGGGCCTGCACTGGCCGCAGCACATTTGTGGGTTACCATATTGTACAACACCGCTGCGCGGGACTACCTAGACGAGAGCGCCGCGCGTAGGCTAACACTGCTAGCACGTATCGCGCCGAGCTGTGTATTCCAGGGGCGGTTTTGTACGTTGTATAAATGTATACAAAGTCACAGCTGTGTTTGTGTTGTGGTGGCCGAGGCTGGCGGATGGACGGGTTGGACCGAGTGGGATCGTGGCGAGGCCGTCATTAAATCCCGCAGCAGCACTCAACGGCATACAGAGTCCGGCCACGGTACGGTGTCGGATATCGTTTCTGTCTATCTCGTTCAATACGAGATAGACAGAAACGACTGTTTCTGTCTATCATTTGGACCAGTTAGGCGCACCTGATGCTGGCTAGATGTGACCCCACCGGCCCGGACGTCGGACTTTGGTGTCGGTAACGCCCCCATTCAGTCGATCCGTGCTTGATGACCGTCCGGTAAGCATTGGACTGTTCTGGAACTGAGCCGGTCGATACCGGTTGGCAACCGTCCCGGACAATAACATCGGCAGACAGCTGACGCCTGAGCAGGCCAGGAGACCTACAGTGGCGGTAAGTAGCGTCTGCCAAACCCGTAAACAGCGCGGTGTGAGCCTGTTCAACGTGGGAGACTGCCCCTGCAAGCGCCGGCTGAATTCAATGTCCCGGCGCAAATGGTTATGTAAATGGTTTGCATGTGTTCAAGGATACCAGGGCTATGTTTTAGTGTGATGACTGGGCGCGATGGTTTTTCAGCTGTGTTTAAACTGGTGTCGGTGTTTTGCGCCGCGCTGGTCGGCGGCGTGGCGGGCGCCTGCCGTTCCCGTGCCCCGTCTAACTGGACGCTCTGTCGGTCAGGTCATATAAGACGGCGCGAGCCGGGTCCATCTCAGTCTAGTCGCCGCTGCAGGGAGCTGAGAGCACTGGCTGCAATCCTTCGGAGGTCCCACTAACGCCGGCGCCATGGGAAAGAGGGTACGTATGTAGTATGTACCGACCGCCGGCCGTCGGCTGAAAGACGCTGGAACTTAGCTGAAAGGTGCGGCAAGCTGAAAGCCCTTGGTTAATGGTTAGAGTGGCCATTGAGTTTTCATGATTGAATCGCGATGAGTATGCATTGGTGTTGCTGGTTTGATGTCAAACTTCTGAAACCACATCTTTTCTGCATCATTTTCAGCTGATGTTTAATGTTAAATGGGAGACGAGCATTTATATTTTACGCTGTATTATGCTGTGCATTTTTCCACCTCGCTGAAGTGCATATTCCGCTTCCCTAAGGTGCTCTCCGTTTTTATACCCAGGATCTTACCTGGGCGTTTACGGTTGCAGCCGACGCCGACGTCTGATCAGGGCTTTTTGCCGGATTTTCTGTTAGTATTGGCGATGGATGATTGTAATCGCATTGACGCAGCGCTGCTGTTTCGCAGTTATTGTCATGCTTGTTTTTCGCAGTTGTAAAATGTATTTCCAACTTACAAGGTCGTACCGCTAGGTTATATGGAGTGGCTCTCCTTTTCTCGAGAAAAATTGGTTTCTTCTGAGCCGAGATAAATGGAGGCGCTGAAACTTTTCACCAAACTTTCACCTTGTCCGGATTCCCGCACTATGCTACCCAAGATTGCATTTTGATAATCCTATTGCGACTCCGGTCATACCAGGAGTATGGTAGAAAACTGCTCGAAGAAACGACACTTACTTGAACATTTTGGGCTTTGAGAGAAAATAATTAATGATTTGCGGCAGTTTTGAGGCAACTACATGTGACCGGAAGACCGGAATAAATGCGTCGTTTTTCAGTCACGTAGGTATGCTGGCTCTAACAGTAGGTAAACGGATTTCCGTCGCTTCTTCATAAAAAGTGAAAAGCTGCTATTTAGCCTTTCATGTCTTTGGTGACCCACCGAAAATGATCGGCGATTTAGCTTTATTAGATTAGCACCCATACGCCGCCTGCCAATTTTGGAAATGTGGCCCATGAGTTCGGTTGTGGACTTTCACCCTCGCCCCGCCCCGTCTTTTGTCGTATGGACCGGGCCACCACCACAGCGAAGGTCAGAGATACCTAAAGATAATAAACCGACACAATTTTATATGGATGGCCGAATATTTAATTTCATATTATTTGCATGACATACCAGAGACAGATGGCACGGTTAGTGACAGTACTGACGAATCTGCATTTTTTACCGTGTCTGTGTTTATGTATTGATACGTTCAAGGCCAAGTCCAAGTGCATTGACACCATTAATGATAGCGTCGCAGGCCATATAAACAGAGCCAGTTGCGATGTCTCGATGTGTCTGGGCTGAAGCAACTGGCATGGGCAGGGATGCCGTATATGACACCCTCCAGAGGTGCCGAGCCCTCTTGCCGAGGCGACCCGCCCCCAACACGGTAAAAGGTCATTGGTGTTATCTCTGTTCGCCTCTGTCAGTGCGGCGTGGTGACACTGGGAGGAGGTAGGTGGACAGGTCACCACACAAACCCGTGCTGACTGCCGGGTAGTCTCTGGACAGTCGGACCCTCCTTTCACTTTCCCGTCAGCTCCCGCGTTGGACGTATGCAAGCTCTCTTCTCAAAAGCAAACATTTCTCTTCGCGGCGTGAGGCGCACATGGAGCGCGCCCTCGCCGCCCTGGAGAAATGCGTATCCACGAATCGATCTTTTACTGACAGACATCAGAAAGGACGATCAGCCGCCATGCACACTACGAGCACGGGCGCTGGAACACATTGCCTCATATGATGGTTTTACCTCGGTTTTTACAGACGGCTCGAAAACAGAACATGGTGTCGGCTGCGCTTTTGTGACTGGTCATGACACACGCACATTCTCTTTGCCAACTTCTGCCTCTGTTTTTTCTTCCGAGCTCGTTGCGATTGAGAAGGCTTTGTGTTTTATCGAGGTGTCTGACAGCTCCTGCTATCTGATCTTGTCAGACTCCCTTAGCAGCCTCTTATCTTTACGGAGTTTTAATCCAGACAACCCGATAGTACAAGACATTTTATCTCGTCTTACGTCGGTGGAACGAGCAGGTAAATTCATCCAGTTCTGCTGGATACCGAGCCATGTGGGCATAAGAGGCAACGAGCTTGCCGACGCGGCCGCAAGACGCGCGGCCGCGGCCCCCTGCCTCCGTCGTTTGCCTCTGCCGGCTCGCGATTTTTACCCAGCCGTTCGATCTTTTACGACGTTTAGCTGGCAGACAGAGTGGCGTCTCCATGGATCCGAGAAGCTACGGAAGATGAAACCTACTCTGGAGCCCTGGCAGTCCTGCTTTCAAGGCAAAAGACACCATGAAGTGGTCCTCTGCAGACTACGGATAGGGCATACGTATGCAACGCATGGCTATCTCCTCCGTGGAGATGATCAACCAACATGTAGCCATTGTTCCGTGCCGCTCACAGTCACTCACATTCTCTTAAGTTGCCCTCACCTCGAACCAAACCGGACACGCTGCCTCGGCCGCATTGCCCCAGGCACCACCATTCGCCACCTGCTGGGTGATGACTCACCCTGGGTTTTATCCGGCAGCATCTTTTCTTATATTCAATCCATCAGTTTTCCTGTGATATACTCGTATTACTAGTTTAACGTATCTCAAGTAGTTCTAGTCTTCTTCAGTTCGTCAGTTCTCTGTTGACATATCCGCTTTACCAGTACAGCGTTATGGGCGCAAAATGACCACCGCAGTCGACGCGCCCGTAAACCCCAATGAACGAACGAACGAACCGCGTTGTGGTCCCTCCGGGTCTCCCCCTCCTCCCCACGGCTGGAGTCCTCCCCTCGCCTCCACAGCTGGAGTCCCTCTGAGCCCTCCCTTCCCTCTCCATGGTCTGTTGGAGCCCCTCGCTCCCCTATCGCTATAAGTCTCCCTCGCTGTAAGTCTCCTATCCTTCTGCAGGGTCTGCTTGCGTCCCTCTGAGCCCTACCCTCTTCCTCTGCAGTGTTGGCAGGAGTCCCTCTGAGCCATCCCTATCCCTCTTTATGGTCTACTGGAGTCCCTCTGAGCCCTCCCTCCCATCCCACACGATCTGCCAGAGTCCCTCTGAGCCCTTCCCTCGGCCACAGGGTCTGCTGGAGCGTCTGGACGCCGGAGAGGTGGTGATCGGCGATGGCGGCTTTGTGTTCGAGATGGAGAAGCGCGGATACGTCAAGGCGGGCCCGTGGACACCGGAGGTTGTCGTTGAACATCCTGAGGCCGGTGAGACTGCGCCGAGCGCGCTGGGGAGATATTAGACGAGCGTATGGAGTGTATTTTGGTGGTGAACTTGAGGCAGGACTGAGGGAGGGGAGGATGGGAAGATGCTCGGTCTCGACTCCATGCCCCTTCCCTCGCTGGTCCGGTCTCAGGTCTATTTTAAGAGTATCATGGACAATAAGCTGTTAGGAAGATGATCAATGATCATTGATGTGGCACTGTCTTAACCCATTTATGCCCAGGAATATTGACCATCATGAAAATCGACGAAATCAAAATATGTTATGCTCCTACCAGGGCCTTGTATGGAATCGAAAATAATTTTTGCCTGCAGCAAAAGTTTCTCGAGAAAAACGTAAAAAACATGCGTTGCGAAATCGCAACGAAGGGCACACCGGGCGCCATCAGCGTTGCGAAAACGCAACGACGGGCACATCAGACGGACATAAAGTACACTGAACTGCCGTATATGCTAATATGTTTTGACAAAACATCAATCAACTGTTGACAACTATTGCTTGAATATGCGGAACCCACATCCGTCATGCTCTATAACCCGCCTAAGAGCCTCAGTGAGGAAGCATAACTTCATGATTCGCGAACGGGGAGATGGCAACACGGTCATTATCAACCATTTACGTTGTCCATTGCTGTTCATTTAAAGTTGTGGTCGACACGTATCCAGGGTGATGCTTTCTTTTTGGAAGCTAGACAGATCCATTACCTCCACCTATCAGACCCTGCACAGTGCACACTGAATACAATTAAACGGAGGATTGGGAGTAAACCAGTGCCTCTCGTATGCGCGTATATCCGCAATCATTTTTAACCACCCTCCTAGGAGTAAAGTTAAATTCCATTGCAGGTTAGTCGTACCCACTCTCAGCAAAAAGAAAAAAGGACCGATCCGGCTCTAACAAATTACCCGCGTAAGGCGTAGCGCATCACAACAAATCGACTCCCAGTTTATCATGTTTACACCTAATCCAAAATTTTCATGGCCCCACTCTCAGCGACCTTCACGTGTAACCTCTTTCTCGAGACAATGCCATGACAGAATGGTGATTCGACGTCAATCCGTCCTTTCCATCTTCAGGATAGTTGAATCCTCCTCCACGCCTCATCCCCCTGTTCCGGGCTGGACCGGCAACGTATATCGCAATCGGGCAGCTCACATAGCGCGCCTGTAGCCGGGTGCAGTGAGTGCTTGGGAGGGGGGAAGGGGGTGGGTCATGGGTGGCGGCTGCCCACTGGCTGGGCTGTCTCCAGTCTACGATTGACCGTGTCCGGTCAGACAAATGTCTCCTCTAATTCCAATAATCCTGCTAGCTCTAAAAATGGTCTGATTAGATAAAAAGCCTATCAAAGTAAGAAAACAGGCGTATACTCCACAATCCACATCAAGCAGCTTATGAATCTATGCGAGTTATGAATCCTAAAAATTATTATTTTCCCATCGGTCCGCCCTCATTACCCCTGCCGAAGGGCTCAGCTACCCTCAGAGGGGGCCTATCCCACTATTTGCCGACCCTCAGTTATCTTTTCTAACGTAAATGCTGGTAGTCAGCAGATTCTATCCAGAGAATGGCGATGCCTATCTGTCGCCTGATACCAGAATACATCCCCGTTATTCATTATTTATGCACAATGTACATAGCAGATACAATTTCCAAAGGACCTAATTATCTCTCAGCTCCGTTAGCATCGCCGACCGTTTGATGCATGGGTCCTTTTCCTACCATGCGATTTTCAGATGCATGGGAACACATTGCTTAGTGAACGAACAGCCGGAGGCCGAAAATCTGCGAGAGAAAAAGAAAGGAGTGTTTGTGGCTGTTTGAGCCAGCAAATATGAAATGTGTCGCAACATTTTACGTGCGAACGCACCTTGCACTAAACATACCTATATACCTACGTCCCTCATGGCATAGGCGGCGGAGCGGGGGGAGGGGGCAACGGGGCACCGTGCCCCCCTTGATTTTGCCATTTTAACATTATCCCGATAGGCGTTGCATGGAAATGGAAATGGAAAGAATGAGACCAAAAGTCAGCAGTGCTCCCCCCCCCCTTAATTGAAGATGTTCCGCCGCTACAGCCTCATGGCTACAAAATGAGAGAGAGAAAGAAAGAGAGAGAGAGAGAAAGGGAGAGAGAGAGAGAGAGAGGGGAGAGAGTTGGGGAACGAGGAGGAGAGGGAGGAAGATGGGGGAGAGAAAGAGAGAACCCACAGCGTATCACGAGTGAAGTCTACTGTTGATATTCATACTTCCGCTACCCTGCCAATGTGCCCATCGTTGCGTTTTCGCAACACCGCTGTCTTTCCGATGTGCCCTTCGTTGCGTTCCCGCAACGCGACCGTAGTCATATTTGAAAATAGTCACAAACCCTTTTTGTAGCATTATTTCTTAACAAAATGCATATCTACGCTATTGTAGGGACTCTGCAGAATATGTTTACACAATTTTCATTACGATATTATTAAGCACTTAGCCTACTTATCTTGGTTTTCGTGACGTCATCACTCACAAAACCTTCGACTTCCCTCTGGGAGCTCTAGGCAGTAACTTACCGGCCGCACAGACTTGTAACTGCGTAGTATCATGCGCACAACCATGCTACACACGCTGAAACTTGTCTCATCGGTTAGTCTCTTTTACACACTTCTCAAGCTTCGATCACGTCGACGCTTGCTTGCGTTGCGAAAACGCAACGAAGGGCGTAAATGGGTTAAAGATTTCAATAGCTCGTTGCATCGCCACCTGAGAATGGTTTAGGTTATCTTATCACAGTGGCTCACCGTCATGACAGTTGACGCCCTTCTCCGGCTCCCTGTCCTGGCCCACCGGTACCGCGCCGGTGGTGACGCACCCTCCCCCTGTGGCGTCACCTCCAGTCAGGGGGCTGCACCGCGAGTTCCTGCGCGCCGGCTCAGATGTCATGCAGGCGTTCACGTTCTACGCGTCCGACGACAAGCTGAGCCACCGCGGCAACGAGGCGGGCTCAAAGTTCACAGTAAGTCCGGGTAGAATTCACCGAAAGTCGGGACAAAACTGACTGTAAGCAGAGTAAAACTAGTTATTAGTGTCAGTCTCTAGTTCGGACCATGGCCATGTGCGGCGCTAGTGACGGTCGCTAGTTCTGATAGAAGCCGTGTGCGGCGCTAGTGACGATCGCTAGTTCTGATAGTAGCCGTTGCGGCGCTAGCGTTGGCGGTTCTGTCAATTGTCGTGTGCGCCGCCAGTATCGGCTGTGAGTGATAGTTAGTCTATTCCCGTGTGCGACCTCAGCGTTTGTATACAATTCCGTCAATCGCCGTGTGCTGCGCCAGTTTCGGTATTTTGTTAGTACTGACTTGGCCTGTGTGTGTCGCCAGTGTCGGCAGATAAATGACGCCGCCTGCCGGCTGGCGCACGAGGTGGCCGCCGAGGGGGACGCCCTGGTGGCCGGCGGCATCTCCCAGACACCCTCCTACCTCCACGGCCTCGGAAAGAAGATCACCCAGGAGGAGTTCAAGAGACAGGTGGACGTCTTCGTAGAGAACAAAGCCGACTTCTTAATCGCTGAGGTAAGCTGCGCTCTGAGGTGCTGATAGAAACTTTTTTGTCGATTAGGGTCTTAAGCGCTTTATTCTCACTGATCAGTAAGACTTCCTCCTATCCTTTGATCGTGAAGTGTCCGGATTATTGCGTTTCTTTGTCAATGAACGTCTGTTTACATTGGTCATAGACAGGGCCAAGAGGTGTCAACCGCGCTGTGTCCTCTACCGGCAGTACTTTGAACATATTGAAGAGATGGAGTGGGCCATCGAGTCTCTGGCGAGCAGCGGCCTGCCCGTGTGCGCCACCATGTGTATCGGTCCAGAGGGCGACCTGCACGGCGTCTCGGCTGGCCAGTGCGCCGTGCGCATGGCGCGCGCCGGAGCGCACGCCGTCGGCGTCAACTGCCACTTTGACCCGTTCGTCTCGCTGGAGGCCGTGCGGCTGATGAAGGAGGCGCTGGCAGAGGCCGGACTGAAGGCGCACCTGATGGTCCAGCCGCTGGCGTTGTGGACGCCCGACGTCAAGAAACAGGGATTCATCGACCAGCCAGAGTTCCCGTTCGGTGCGTACACTCGACTGGGGTTTAACCAGGGCTGTTTTTTTGGTGGATACAGGGTGTCCCAGAATTACCCGGACATTTATTTTCTGGCTAAAAGTGCGATTGCGCTCGATTCTAATGATATACAAGCATCATACTTTTATAAGATATCCCTTAGCTATCGAGCTTGGGGACTGTGTGCTTTTGGTGACCGGTAACGACTCGAGTCAATTATTATCCAAAGTCAAGTAGGAGTAGTCCTTTTCCGTTTTCAGCTTAAGCCACTAATAGGCAACCATGGTGAAACAACTCCCGTTTTCAACTTTGTAAACGGACTTTCGGCATGGTTTTTGCTGGAGAGCTTCAGCAGCTCATCAGCAAGCAGTTAGGATTGAGCAAAGCGCAGTTATATCAGCTAACGAAGCCAGAGAGAGCAAGAGATAAACCTGATAGACAAGCTTGGACTCGGCCAAAAAGGGCCATGCACCAGTTGTCAAACGGGTGGTTGCTTGTCATGGACAACAAACGTCACTGATTTAGCTAAAAACTAGCTAAACGATAGATCAGGATTATCTAAAGAACATCAGTCTACTTTCCACCAGTATCTTCGCAAAATTTTGGAATTTGGGGTCCCTCGCCTGAAAAATATGCGAAAACTACGGGAAAAGCAGCGAAAATCACTACAATTCATCCCAAAAATATAACATATACAACAAAAAAATGTGTTGAAGCACACTTTGTGGTCTAACGAAGGTATTCTGTCATTTGAACCGCCCGAAAAAGGCGTGTGTGAACGTCAGATGGCTACAACGCCCCAACAGCAGAGACGGCCAGGCACCCGTCGAAAATCAAATTGTTAGACATTTTGAGCCACCGTGCACTCATTGGGCTTGATATGATGGCCCAACGACAGCCGTTAGCACAGAGTACTACTGCGGTGATATTCTACCAGTGCAAAAACTGGATGCCGTAAACCAAATGGCCATGAACGGGTTTGTTTTGGAAACCAAATCTGTTGGAAGCCAAAGGTCCCGCCATGTTCAGACATGGAGCTTCTCCACTTCAGATGTAAAAAACGCGGCAAAAGTGGTGTAGGCAGCAATTTTTGTTTTGGGGGATTATGCCTTATGACCTGGGAACACTTTACTGTTAAGTTTATCTTATATGATCGTATTATCCTCCGGCAACAGGTCAAAGAAAACAGGCCTTCACCCAGTTTCGGGAGAACCGTAAAACAACTGAGACCAGCAATGGCTGGCATTTTCAATCATTGTCGGCTGATCTTGTAACAAGCGTATCTATTGCATGTGCTATTTCACAGCCACCCTAGTTGACTATATAGGACGATAAAAAGAAAAAGGCGCAATCATGTTCGCCTTATTTTATACGCTAATTAACAATGTCCGGGTAATTCTGGGACACCCTGTACACTCGACAGGGGTTTAAGCAGGATTCCCGTTCGTTGTTTATATGGGTGTAACTGCTATCGTTCGATGGGTACACTCGACTGACGCGCAGTGAATGTTCCCGTGCCGTAGTTACACTCGACTGGGGTGTAGAGGATTACTGTTCGGTTGGTACACTTGACAGGGGTGTAACCAGGGTTGTCGTTCGGTGGGTACACTCTACTGGGGTGTAGAGAAAGTAAACAGGCCGTATGTGCGATGACCTCTCCCCCTGATTACTTGTTAACTAACACTGACCTTTGACGCTCTGGTGACCTGCCGGCAGCGCTGGAGCCGCGCATCCTGACGCGCTGGGAGATGCACCGCTACGCGCGCGAGGCTTACGACCTGGGCGTGCGCTACATCGGCGGCTGCTGCATGTTCCAGTCGTACCACATCCGGGCCGTGGCCGAGGAACTGCGCGAGGAGCGCGGCAAGCTGCCGGCCGCCCACCAGAAGCACGAGCTGTGGGGCGGCGGCCTGCTGCTGCACACCAAGCCGTGGGTGCGCGCGCGCGCCAGCAAGGAGTACTGGTCGCAGCTGAGTCCGGCCACCGGCCGGCCGTACTCGGCGGCCCTGTCTCGGCCGGAGGGCGGTAAGATGTGAGGGGCGCCGACTGGGGGAGCCGAGGGTCCTGGGCTGCGGACGACAGTACCCGGTCTTCACCAGGGCAGGCTGTGGCCTCACTGTCCATGGCTTTGGTGTAATGGGGTGGGGGTTATGTCAACGATGACAACGTTCGAATAGGTCACGACGTGACTGATTGCTGATATCTAATGACTGACATTCAGTCGGGTTTGCGTCTCTGTTTAAGACCAGTAGTCTCGGGTATAGAGACGTTTGCGTTGCGACCGTTGTTGCACTGTTATCTTCGTATATGCTACCCAATAAACCGGCTACCTAAAATGGAAGGGTCAAGGGTTTGTCAGTGCGAAGTGTCACTTCTTCCTGCTCCAGTGGCACGCCTCAACTTCTGAAGATGCGCATTTAAAAGGGCAGTAAAAAGACAAGTGTAAAATTCGTTCATAATAGTCGAAGGTGGAATTTTAGTCGAGGGGTCGCGGGTGGCGGCAGCGCGCCGCAGCGTCACCGGACTGTCCGGCGGTGAGCTCCTCTCGGCAGCAGCTGTTGGCGGCATGGAGAGCGGCGCGGCGCCCGGCCCGGCCAGCGAGCGAGACCGCCGCTGCTCTACCAAATACCACGTCTTCGTATTATCAAAAACATTTCTACTCTGATACTGAAATGTCGCAGACATTGTGTATTATCACAATGCCATGCGTTCGCGTCATGGGCATATGCCGGAGGACTTTGGTTCGCTCGCAGAGTAGCTCAGCCAAGGCGCAGCCAGACGTGCGCTTCGTCACCCTGATCGGCATCAGTCACAGTGTGTACGCCTGATCTTTCGGTGTTTATTACTGTACAAGCACATATTTTTACGACGGACTCCTCACGATAATCATCACACTGAGGTATCGACGCTGAAAATCATCGAAAGCCAGATGCCCTGCTCTAGAGCGCAAATATGCGCCATCACAAATCGCGCCGACATTCATTCAAATAGTAGCGAAAACAATCTGACCGTCTTAGCAGCACGGTAGCCTGTATAGACTACGTACTTCTCAGCGCATCAACATACTTCACGCTGCACATCCTATTTGACGTTCGTTCGCAGTAACGTCCACACAGACACAATATTAACTAGACGGTCCCGCGGGGCGGACCGTTGCTACCGCGCTACCAGGTCCCTGATTTTCTGCCGGAGCAGTTTGGTTTTGACCACCTGACTGTCCTGTTGTCGGAACTCTGCGTGTGCCACCTCCAGCACCTTGTAGCCGCTCAGTTCCAGTAGGTTGACGGTCATCTGGTTGAAGCCGGTGACTTCCACGGAGTCTAGTGTCATGTCGCGGTAGCTCCAGGTACACAGCGCCACCCTGCTCGGCAGACAGACACGGGGACGGGGTATCAGAGCGGGGTCTCGGGACTAGAGAGAATTTAAGAAGAAAAGAGGAGACTAAAAGAGAGGTAGCTGAGCAAAGGTACCGACACAGGGGAGGCTCTGAAGAACTGATGAGATCCGACGGTTATTGCTTTGACTAAATTCAGTCTGCCCCTGTGACAAACATTGAACATTGCCCTTCGTTTGTCCCCGAAACACCCAGATCAGCAGATCGTGAACGACATATGAGATAATCAAATCATTCAGCAGCAGCAGTAGCAACTCCGTAGCCGCAGCACACAGCACTGCCCGCGCACCAGGCGCCGTCTCCCGGCGGCTCCTCACCTGTGGACACCCGGCGGGGGCTGCTCGGCCGGCGGCGGCGCGCCGGGCAGCGCGCTGCCGTACCGCTCGCAGGGGACCGGTGCGCCATCATCCCCGACCGTGAACTCGGCGTCTACCGCGCAGCCGGCGGCCGGCGCGCCGCCCACGCGCAGGTAGCGCGGCGGGGGCAGGAAGTTGACCAGCGCCTCCAGCACTGCCTTCTGTAGTGTCTCCGAGTCCTGGGAGCGCGGCGGCGCCACCGGCTCCCCGGGACTGCCGAGCGCCGCCGCCACCGCCGGACCTGCGGACGGCGCGGTCAGAGGCCTGTTTCACTAACAAATAAAGTGTGTAATTACAAATAAAAAACTTGAGTTTAAAAGAAATATTTACCAACATTTGAAATTTGGATTTCACGAAACCTCCGAGCATGAATTTTGAGTTTAAAATTTACCAACTTTTTTACAAGAAAAAAGTTTGTAAGAAACATCGAAATCGCAAACTTTCTGTTTCACGAAGACCAAAAACTTGAAAGAAAACGTTGTACTTACAAACCCGAAATTCCAGTGGCTCTTACGTTCGGAATTTTATTACTTTTGTGCAATGATGCAAAGCAATCAATTATTTGAAACAAATATGATATGCTGAGTCATTATATGCTCTTTTTTACTTAGCACAATCCCTACGAACCAGCTACGAGCAATAAATAAATATCGTCATATTTTGTCATTCGCCCGCCATAATTGCATTCAAAGTCTTCTGCTGTCAAATGTTTTGCGTGTTATTTTCTTTCAATAATAAAATATTGTGAACTATCATTTATACCATTTAGAAACAGCATCATTATTTATAATTTATTCATGCATTTTTTGACATGAATACTAGACATAATTTGATAAAAAGAAGCAATATCTGTAGCATGTTGTAGTTCTTGATTAAAAACATTTTAACTGTTTACAAGTTTTTTTGCAAACTCTTTTTATCGGAGGTGCCGCTGGTGATGAAGTTTAGTGAAATCCGATTTTACATAGTTTGCAAAAATACTTATGAATTGTAAAGTTCAAACACTTGTAATCGCAAGTTTTTAGTGAAACAGGCCTCAGATGAGAGCGGTTAGAGGCAACGTGGAGTGACTGTCATCTTGAATGTGAGATGTGTGGGAAGCGGCGGTCGTTGACAGAGGCGCAGCATTTGCATTACGGAGCCTCAGTTGTTCGGACTTTGAAACTCATATCATTGTGACTCCGGCTTCTAAAGGCCTGGCTACACTATGCGTTTTCTGCGTGCGTTTTTTGCGAGTTTGCGTGATTTGCAGAATATCGTTCTCGAAAGAAACGAAATTACGTTTTTGTCATATGTTTTTCATATAAACTTTTAATTAACATAAACGTTTTATTATTTTTTTATATCAATATTAAAGAAGTTTATTTAATAATAACCCTTTTTCTAGAACGATATTACGCAAAACCCGCAAACACGCAAAAAACGCACGCAGAAAACGCATAGTGTAGCCAGGCCTTAACTCTGGAGGATGGCTGGCAGCCAGGATAACACAGCATCAATCCCCCAAGAATCCAGTCTCCGTTCCTACCTTAACCCGATACCTCCCTCACTGACCGGCCTGACTGAATGGACGGCCAAACTCCTTCCCATCTAACCTCTCACCCTCCCTCCTTCCCGTCCGCCGACTACCCTGATACTCCCTCCCGTCCTCCACCTACCATGGTACTCCCTACCGCCCGCCACCCGTCCTACCTGGTACACCCTCCCGTCCGCCACCTACCCTGGTACTCCCTCCCTCCTATCCGCCACCTACCCTGGTACTACTCCTTCCCGTCCACCGTGGCACCGCTTACCCTGATACTCCCTCCCGTCCGCCACCTGTCCTACCCTGGTACGCTCTCCCTCCCATCCGCCGCCTACCCTGGTACTCCCTACCGCCCGCCACCTACCCTGGTACACCCTCCCGTCCGCCACCTACCCTGGTACTCCCTCCCTCCCGTCCACCGCGGCACCGCCTACCCTGATACTCCCTCCCGCCCGTCCACCTACCCTGGTACTCGTGTTTCAGTCGAGCGTAAGCCTCCAGTTTGGCCAGTTTGAGCCGGGCACCCAGGTGTATCCTCTCCCGCTGCAGGGCACGGCAGAACTCTGGCTCCAGAACGGACCGGAGCTGGTCGGCCGAGCTGCGGCCCAGGACGGACAGAGACCAGACCAGGTCGAGCCACACCTGAGGCCGCGGCAGCTGCTCCCGGCCGCAGCGGGCGATCAGTGCCTGGGGGCGCGGGCGGCGGGGTGTCAATGGGAGGGAGGATCCGGAAACCATACAAATATGTCACCACTCACAGAATGACATTAATTTTGTCATTTTGTAAGTAAATAGCCACAAAGCATTTAGTAAACATACTTGAGTTTGATGGCATTATCCGTAACATTGGTATTTCTGGCGACCCTTTGACATTTTGTGACCGTGTGTGCACCGTCAACGCAGGCAAAAGAGAGAACATTAGTAGAAGAAGGAGGAAGAATGTCTTGCAAATGGTATGTCAGGCACAGAAGGGAGCAGCTATAGGCAGAGTGAGAGTGTTGAGCAGCGAATAAAGCCTTATAGTCAGAGGGAGAGCGTAATAGGCAGAGGAGGGGGCAGCAGTGCTGTCATAGTCAGATGGGGAGATGAGAAAGAAAGCGGTGGTAGGCCGAGGTATGGTATCAGGCAGAGAAGAGAATGTGAGACAGGAGAGTGCAGTGGGTAAAACCGTCGCCGGACCACCCACCGGTATGAGTGTGGCCGCGTTGGTGGGCGAGTAGTTGACCGTGGCCAGTGTGATGATGAGGGATACAATGTCCAGAGGCCGCAGTGAGTCCAGGTGCCGCTCGTACCACGTGGCGGCCGCCTCCAGAAACTCTGAGGGAAAGGCGCACACGCACGTCAGGCTGAGACAGCTAACAAACAACGGGCTGCAAACAGACACACATGACACAACAGACAGACACAGACACAGAACATAGACAGAGACCGCAGAGGAGAGACACAGCACAGACCACAACAGACAGTAAAGACGACAGCAGACACAGACCACAGCTCGGGCCGCCTCCAGAAACTCTGAGGGAGCGGTGTACAGGCCGGTCAGACACGCGTCCCTGTCCTATCTCTCTGACCAGCTGTGTTGTGTCCTCTCTGACCTGTCCTCTCTTCCCTTTGACCCATGATGTGTGCTCTCTGACCTGTGTTGCGCCAGTGCAGCAGTCCCGCGGCCTTCAGTGCCGAGCTGATGACGTTCACCCTCTCCACGGACGGCGTCTGGGATACCAGATCCCGGGACAGCTTCTCCAGCAGCATCTGAACGAGGTAGACACCGTGTCAGATCCAGAGTTAGATCCAGCGTCAAGCGGGCTGTGAGATCTCGTGTAAGACACGGTGTCACAGTGCCAGACAGGGTTTCAGGCAGTGTCAGATGGGTATCAGAGACAGTGACAGTCTGACACTGGACATGACTGCCTGCATCGGTCTACGTACTATGTCAATGCGCTTTACAATCAACCCCTCCACCCCCGTCACACTGTCATACCGACCTCCCGGCGACCATGTAGGGACCAATCCGGAGCAACTGACCAGCCCGCTTCCTCCCCAGATACGTTCCTCTCTCACACCGCACAGGGTCGATGGCGTTTACCGAGCTCTACCACCCCTCCCTTCCCTCTACTCCTCGCGGCTCGCCCCGCCTCCTCGCCGCACCTGATCGGGGAAGTTGAGTTTCTGCAGCGCCAGCAGGGTGCGCACCGCGTCCTTGTAGGCCACCGGCTCGGGCTGGCGCGCCGCGTGGAAGCAGAGCGCTCGCAGCAGCGGCGGCGGCCGACGACGCTGTTCGGCCAGCAGTCCCAGCAGTCGGGACACCTCGGAGACAGTGGCGGTGCTGGCCGCGTCCAGAGCCCGGTCCTCCAGGTGACGGACGAACTCGGCCGGGAACTGGTCACTGTTGGACACAGAGATGGAGAGGGCGGCGGGGGTCAGAGACAGTGGGCTCAGAGGGACAGAGGAGCGCTGGAGTTCAGGGGGAGTGGTCAGCAGTTTGAGGGAGGGGACGAGTTACGGCGGAAAACGGGAGTCAGACGATGCAGGTGTTACGGTCACAATCTGGAGAAATCAAGGCCAGAAGATCGCTGATTACTGTCGCCAGCCCGGGAGAGGCAAAAGGATCCGTGAATCATGATTGTTGCCGTAAGTGCACTGTGTCCTGCGTCCGATCTCCACACAATGCTGGGCCGAGATGAAAAGGCGAGTTCGACCTGTACCGCCGCAGCAAATTATACCGTCATTTTTTTCGATAGGTACGTACCCGACCCGAAATAAAGTGGAAGACATCAGTGCAGACTGCGAACTCCGCCTGGTCTACTGAACTAGTTTACGTGACCTGGTAATCCGTCTCCCCCAAGTGCAAGTCTCATATTATCAGAATGTATGATCAATAGGTGACAGAAAAGATCTGTCCCAGTTGGCCACTGGAAGCCTCAGGATAAAACTGCCCGCGTCCGGATCTGACACGGGTCTCTGCCGTAACCACGCCCCGCGCCTGGCGCCGACCCCGGGCCGTGACCACCCGCTCCGGTCGGCCGCTGCGCCCGGTCTGCTCTCTCACCTGCAGGTCAATGTGGTCAGAGCGGCGCGCAGGTGGGCGTACGGGGACACCCGGGGGTCGAGACAATCGGACACCGGCGGTGCCGGCAGGCGCGCGCGCAACCGTCTGCAAGCGCACAGGGGGCGCTGTGACGGAGCGGTCGAGCGAGAGCCGGGGATCCCTACCCTGAACCGCCAGGGAGTCCTCCCAGGACTATGAGGTACGTATCGGACACCCGCTTGGCGCTTAGTGCCGTGGATAATACAATCATGGTTGTGTCGTATGGAAACGCTGAATATCATTTTAATGGAGTAAACGAACTTTCTTTGAGTAATGTCGAAAATAGCAATGTTTGATATCAACATTGGCAGTCTGAGCTAATTCGAAATATACTGACGAAAAATAAAAGCCACAACTGGGGAAAAGCAGAGTTCGCAATTTTTTCTGTTTTCCCGATATGGCAAAACGATATACAGGGTGTCCCAGAAGTCTTGAAGCTTTTTTATTTTTGTCGTGTGACCTTGCTATGCCACCGATTAAGGCAAATGACGCCTCAAACGAAAGAGAATGAACTGAAATTTTGTATTTTCATGCGTAGAGCACCACTTTAGTCAGGTGGCCCCCGTTGTGAGTCGCACAAGATTGAGCACTAGAGATCACGTTCTTCGCTGCCGCCAAGATCTCCCGGTTTGCGAAACACCGATATCGCCATGCCCGTTTCTGGTCAGCTTCAGAGCCTTATTTCATGAAGCGAGCCAGCCGCCAGGAAACAGAGTATTGGATCTCCGAGAAAACATTAGCAACATAATGATTTACTGATCAGAAAGTCTCCTGACATGTTTGCATGCATCCATTACGGAAATAAGGCTCAGCTGCTTGAGCACGCTAAGCAACAGCCCGTTGTAATCCTTTGATTCGACGCATTATTATGGGGCTAAAACAAATATCAACCCGTCGGAAATATATGTCGCTAATATTATGTCCCTCGCTTCAGGGAATAAGACTCTGAAGCTGACAAGAAACGGGCATGGCAACACCGGTGTTTCGCAAACCGGGCGATCTTGGCGGCAGCGAAGAACGTGATCTCTCGTGCTCAATCTTGTGCGACTCACAACGGGGGCCACCTGACTAAAGTGGTGTTCTACGCATGAAAATACAAAATTTCAGTTCTTTCTCTTCCGTTTGAGGCATGATTCGCCTTAATCGGTGGCATAGCAAGGTCACACGACGAAAATAAAAAAAAGCTTCAAGACTTCTGGGACACCCTGTAGTTTTACTGTATCGTTAAGTTAAAGGGACTATCCCACCTTTAACATGGGGTTTGAGTTGAGATAGCCAAGTTTGCGGCGAGGTTCAGAAACCACTATCTATCTAGGTTGCAACCCCCGCGGCCTCTTGGTGTTGAAGAAATTCGTTCCCTTCATTTGAAAATGGGCCTTGTACAAGGCCCTATCTTCAACATGGAGCGACCGTTAGTGTGACGTCACCTCGTTTAGTCATTCTGATTTAAATGGGTTTGTTCGTTGAAAAATCGCTTAAAACTTGGTCTGAAATTTGTTGTGGTGCCTACAGAGTAAAAAGAATCAGCTTTATGACAGTAATGTGGCCTGGGGAAGGAGGTAATTTTGGGCTGTGACGTCACATATTTGAAAGTTTGTGTTTGGAATATGGGAAGCCTGAGATGTTTAATGAAAAATAAATACCAGAACTGTGTTCCTGGTCATCCAATCTATAAAGTCGGGCACAATTTAACTGGTTTTAACAACATTTTAGAAGGTGGGATAGTCCCTTTAAATATTTCATTCGGTAGCATTGCAGCTTGCCAACATGCCTTTTACTTGTCTCGGCTTGATTGGATAATATGTCCGTTTCTTGTTCTTCAATTCCCCCTCCAAGCCAATCACTGCCTATCTGCGGTCGGGCTAGGTCGCTCACCTGTGTTTCATAAGCACCACCACCTCCTCGCCCGAGGTGATCTCCACCCATCGGCGCTGGATGGCCTCCTGGGTCAGCGCGCGCAGCTGGCCAGTCACCTTGGACGCGCCGGCCGTCAGCGAGAGGCGGAAACACTGGGGACGGACCGAGTGGCAGTCAGAGGCGGGGAAACACTGAGGACGGAGGAAGCCCGTCAGTCGAAAGCGGGCAGAAACATAGCCAATAGAGCGGCAGACAGAGAGGAGATGGACACTGCAGAGCAACCACCAGATGGAGTAGAAAACACTACGGACAGAGTCACCGAAAGAGGCTTTTCTCTCCCTCCCCTCTCTATTCGTCACTCCCTCCATCCTTCCTTCCCCTCTCCCTTTCTCTCACGCACACGCACACACCTGGACGAGCTGTTTCATGGTCATTTTGCGCAGGTTCCAGATGAGGTCTGTGATCAGTGAGGCGAGCAGCGGGTCGTCCGGCGGTACGCCGAGTTCGCTGAGCGCGCGCGCCGGGGCCAGCAGCCGGTGCAGCGGCTGCCGGTCCGTGTTGCCTTGCAGCAGCTGCTCCGTCACCGCCCGGTAACTGCGCAGTAAGGCACCGGGGTCAGATGGGGGGGGGGGGAAGGGCGGTCAGTCGAGGTTACCAGAGGTCAGTCAAGGTCAGTTGGGGGACAAGATATCTTTGTAGAGCGTGCTCGGCTGCTCGCAGACGATGTCCAACATTCTACCGGTGGTGACAAGAAGTTATCGTTTAGGTGACACCTTTCCAACTCTTTTTCCCTCTGTTTGTGCAGTAGCATCACCAGACAACGCCCTTACAAAAACATCGAACATTTGAAATTCAAACATTTCCATCCAACTTGACAATATTCTTCACACCCACAGCATGATGTGCGAGCCATCGAACACGAATAATTTGGACCAAATTTGACTCAACCCTAGTTACCACTGACCAAGACACTGTTTCACGGCGCGCTGTAGCCGCTAGGACGTACTAACGCTATTGCGCTTTCGGTTTTCATGGCAGCATCAACAAATTTATTTGTGAGTGTCCGAGTTCGTTGATTTTCCCACGGAAACAGAAAGCGCAATAGCGCTGGTACCCGCTAGCAACGTGCCTGTCAAACAGGGTTTAGGAGTGTGACATTACACTAACCAGGGGTGTGCGGTGACTTGCGCGGCCGGCACGCGCTGCTCGCCGGCCATATGCGCCACAGAGGTGATCCAGAGGAGTGCCTCAGTGCGGGACAGCTGGCGCCGCTCGGCCACAGCCAGCAGTTCGTCCACCGTCGAGCAGCTGCTGAACACGCGTCGGATGGCGTGGAAGGTGGCGGCGATCTGCTCGGCCGACGCGGACCCCTCCGGCGGGGAGCGGTCGGCGCCCGCCAGGGGGAGGTCGGGGACCGCCGCCGCCGCCGGGACGGGAGACTGGGCAGGGGTGCCAGCAGCCGCCGCGGGTGTCGGGGAAGGGGATGAAGCTGATCCATCTTCCCCCTGCGAGAGACAAAGGGTACACAACGTTTCTTTGTGACACAAAACTTTGTACACCAATTTAAATGCCAGAATAAATGCACTGATGTCTGCTGTTATTGAGCAATTGAGCATCATGTAGAAAATGAAGGACGAAGAAGATGCAAGTGGCTGTGGTAAAATAAATGAAATTCATTACCTTTTGAATCAGTCTGGTCTGGTTCAGCATCCCCCATCGCCGGAGAAAGCCAGCAGGCTGCCTGGGCAACAGCCTTATTGCAGAAAACATTTTATTCTGAAAGAAAACAAGGCCAAAGTAATCATAAAAAAATTAAGATGTTAATCCAATTGCAGAAATCACATCCTTTTTAGCAATGACATATTCAGGGAAAGAACTGCATAGGACATGCTTTTAATCAGTAAATTGAGTCATAAACAACTAAAAACAACATAACTTAACAACTAACCTACCTAACTTAACCTTCTCAAGTCTAACCTAAAGTATTAGGAGCATTGTCCAATGTCTCTAGTGCCTACCCTTCAATGTTTGTACCCATAATTGTGTAGGCTTAGTGCTGATGAATAAAAGATCTTATGCAAGACATTAAGTTAACATTTACATTTTATGGTTGTGTTATTCTGCAGTAGACCAAGGCCTGAATTCTGAAAGCCAGCTAAAAAGTAACTTTACCAATATATTTGAGTTATCCCTACTCCCTAGCTGAACAAGTCTTCAAATTCCTCTCGCCTCAGGCAGGAGACATGCCTAATTTTTTTATTTCTATTCTTCCACAATCTTCTCTTATTTTCCTTTCCAATCTGTTCACTGAGCTTGCTCTTGTTGAAATGCAACAACAGGTTCTTAATTTTAGATGCATGCAAGTAGCTGCAAACTAAAACAGAGAACACAGGCCAAAAACTGACCATTCAAAATAAATTTGTGGTATGCTCAGACTATTAAGTCATTTAGCCCTTTGTGTGACAACTGTGATACCATTATAGCATTATGAGTCGCTGTTATGATTTCTGGAACTTGAAGGGAATAGTTAACTTCCCAGAATTTTTCAAACATATCATTTGAAGTTAAAACATATTAGACACTTTAGGCATGATATTTCCCCAGTTTATGAATAAAAAATACTGGGTTTTATTATCTATTTTCCCTGTATCATAACAATTTCAAAAATGAGCACAGAGTTACAGACTGAGACGGAATCAAAATGCCAAAACCATCCAGATTCCAGTTACAATTCATTTTTAGTGAAAAGGCAGCCAAAGCACGCAGGTAAATTAAGCAAAGTTAAATTAATGAACAATGACGGTCCCGTAAATGAACAACAATGCCGGTCCCGTAGCTCAGTTGGTAGAGCGTTGGACTCCGCGTGGTGAGAGCACGCGTACCCGGTTATAACAGTCCGGGTTCGAAGCGCGACGGGCGCTCGACATTTATGGGCCTCCTGACAGGTATGGCTGTGGTTGGTGGCAGGCCGTAGCCAGGCGAAGTCAGTGAGGGGACCAGATGTGCACGGCTATGTGCGCACGTTAAACTTTGGACACTAAATTCTGCCATAGAATCGGAATTGCGCGATCGGAGGGTAGAGGGCAGGGTCACCGCAACAAGCTTCGCTTAGCGGTGGCTCTGTCCTTGTGAGTCCTTCCTATCAAAAGGTTCGGACAAAATTTATAAAAAAATGACTTTAGTACCTTCAAAACCTTACTGAATATAACAGCTTACCTGAAAATTTATTATCGACGCTCGTCGCGACTATGCACCCCACTTCAAGCTGTTCAGGGATGAATGAAGTGAATAAGTGCCCTGATAATATAAAGATACTAACGCATCTCAACTCCTAAAACTCCAAACACCGCAAACACCAATAGATATTATTGACATTTACATGTTATGCAACACTCAGCCCACCCTGACTCAGCCCTGCGCAGGGGGGTACGCTCCGGCTGTTTAGCATTACGAAAAGTGGTGACAGACGTTTGTGGAGGATTGTCGACGAACTCTTGTTCCGCGAGCAGCACTCACGCGCTAGCGGAAAATCCACCAATCAGCGCTCGGCAGTGCTCGACGCTGATTGGCCCGACGCTCGTGACGAAATTGCGGGGGACCGCAGTTATTCTCTATGGACCCGAATAGGCTTTTGGATTTCGGAGGGGTTTCTTTAAGATTATATGCTGTTTCAAGCTGTTTTCGAGTTGAAATATATTTCTTATGACTGTTAGCTATATAATGGCACCATAAAATCATGATTTTGATTAATATTAGCGATGTAATATCGGCCGAAAAGACATGCTGTCTTGGCACGGACTGCCCTGCGGCTGATGTGGGGCCTCTAGTGCCCGCCTATGGTAATAATGGGCTGACGAAGGGTTATTGGAGACTCTTAGAGCCCCACCAGGATTCAGTATAGGGTCATCAGAGGCCGGGAACATCCATCGGGGGTCTGAGTAGGCCTGCCATAGGGGCATACATGACACATCATGGAACATATGGGTCAATCTAGATCCATTAGGGGCCGTTGAAGGGCCCTCATTGTTCAGCGTGGGCCCGCAATAACCTCTGATGGGCATATGCCGTGCCCCGATGGACTAACGCTGGCCCCCGATAAACCATCACCAGCCCCTGATAGGTCTACAAAGCCCCCTGCTGGGTCTAAATTGGTCACTGATATGCCCAAATGGGCCACTGAGAAACCCGTACAACATCCCCTGACTGCACCTGATGGACCAATGCCGTCCCCTAATGGGCCCACCACGGCTCTTGAATGGCCTCTTCAAGTCCCTGAAGCGCCTTTATTGGCCTAAATGGACCCCTGATTGGCTTATGTGGTCCCTAATGGTCCTATATGGCCCCCATGAGCCCTCAACGTCCCTAGACAGCCTTACATTATATGCCACCGGTCCCTGGTAGGCCTGCACTGGACCCAATGGGCCTATACCGACCCATAAAGGGCCCATGTCGAGCCCTCATGGGCCTCCGATGACCACACGCCGGCATGTGTGGCCCCATCAGCAGTGGTCCGTCTATCCCATGTACTTACGGTCTTTTTGGCCGATGTGACACCGGTAGTATATAGAAATGTCATGATTAAATGTCGTTATTATATAGTCAAAGGTCACGGAAAGAATATCCAAGCTCAAAAATGGCCTCAAACCCAACAAAAACTGATACAAATCCCCTTCAAAAGTCATAAGTCAATGAAACGCCATAGGGGAATAGCTGCAGTCCCCCGCAATTTCGTCACGAGCATCGGGCCAATCAGCGTTGAGTATTGCCGAACGCTGATTGGTCGATTTCCGCTAGCTTGTAAATGCTGCTTGCGGATATAGTCCTGAACAAGTGAGGGTCGCGGCAACTAAATATTGCTTGTCACCACTTTTTCTTCGGGAGCGTTCTACCTGGTTTATATAGCCTTGGCCCTGCGCTTGCCGCATATTTACGTCTGGACAACGAGTTGCGTTGGAGAGGCCGGAAATAGTGGCGATTTCAGGACCGCAAGAATGGACCGTCATTGGAATGATTCTTTTTCAAACCGTGCACTGTTTTCGGTCGCAATTTAATAGTTACTACAAAATATTTTTCAATTACGTTTTCACCAAGAATGAATGCCATCAAGGCTAAATTTTTACTACTTTTGCATTTTGTCAAGAAGCATATAGTGCTGTTATATTGCAGTTTTTGCGCGTTTGTTACAAAATATGAAGCGAATAAGCGTCAGTGTAATTCATCAGTGCCAGAAGTTAACTTGAGGGGAAGCTATGCTAATTGCTCTTGTCCATCCACGAGAAGTTATTCAAGTTATTGAATATTTTGCTTTGTGTATTCCAAAAGGAGAGGGAACTATTTTATTTGTGCCTTCATGTCAGAATTGAAGGTGGATCATTAAATTTTCAAGGCAGTTTACAAACAAGCATTTGGTCTTTCAGTTGTATATAAGCAGTGGCTAAGAAGAAAATGTTGATCAATCCTGAAGTTCAGTCATCGTACCTCAACTTGGCAGCAAGATCCCCAAGGACAGAGGTTATATTGTATACCTGTCCTGTAAATCAAAGCATTTTTGTGCCTGCAAAGGCATAAGTTATTTGTGGTGTGTTCGGAGTGAGGCTATATGGCCGTTTTTGTTCTATGTTTATGTGGAGATTGAATATAACTGTGACCCTTTGCTTGTTTGTATACTTACCATGGTCAAACAGGGAACAGCACATTCACATAACATACTCACCTAGCACCTAACTCATAGCTGTACCCTGCTGGATCTGTACTTGTTCATGTCTCAAGCATTAACAAAGCACTAAAGTAGCTTAGTAATCATTTCCCACATTTTCTGAGCATCTAACATGACATACAGCAGTGCAGAGCAGCTTCAGAGAAGAAACACTTTAAATGCACAGACTCACACCAGCCACCCAATGAGCCAGTTCCTCAGTTGACTGTTTCCCTGGATGCAGCTTGGCAAGGTGAGCTAACTATAGGCAAGTTGAAGGTTAGCAGGTAAGATTGAGTTAGGGTGAGTACCTACCTATAACTGGGTGCTACTGCTAGGTGCTATGCAGGTCTTGGGTAGGCTGCAAATATGTGTGACGATTGACTATTGAGGTTAGGTCAGCTGTCAGGTTATTGAGGTGTGCTCATTGCTCAGGTCACATTTTTATGGACACTTCACAAATTAAAAACCTAACATAACCTAATCTAAGCTAACCTGACTAAACCTACACAACTGCCGACTATAGGAACTAAGCACCTGCCACCGACCTACTTGTGCCTACATCTCATACCATGTCAAAGTAGAGTTTCTTGGTGGAAGATTACCCTCAGTACTTTTTATCCCAGCCTTGTGAAAAAAAAAACTATTACTTCTAAGCTCTGAGTCACTGCTGGCCATCCACAGGAAGAAACGCTGAGACTGAGAGCTTTGCCATTGTATATTGGACCAACAATCATGAATCACTATCATGAATGACTATGAACACATTATATGATCACATCGTTGCATGGATTGTCACATTGACAATTTTATAACAATCCTTTTTTCAAGAAATACAGTAATGATTAACATCAAAATCAACATAAAGTGGATTTTGTGATCCAAACTTTCTCCTCCAGTAGCAATGGAATGATCGCATGTTTCATTTGCCAGACACTGAGTACCTGATGCACATTACACTTTGCGTAGCATCTAAGCATAGTAAAGCTGCCAAAGTCCATTCATTCTAGATTTTTAACTTGATAGCACTAATTTATCTTGCTGTTGTAAGTCATCATTCAATATTCATACCAATACATCAATATGCGCAGTGCGCTCATCAGTCAGCATTTTCTGGCATGATCCTGCTCAGCGCGCTCTTCAGTATTGCTCCAAGATCTGCAATATTATAGCTTATTTCGGCCAATAAGCTCTTTTAATTTTACTTTTTCTTGCTGATATATGAGCCCGTTTAACTTGCGTTTATCAACCAAAATTTCATAACTTCAAGTTCAACTTGATATTGATATTGCTCAGGAGTCAGGACCTCTGTCAGGCTCCTGGATACTTCGGATTGTATTTAGTCACATGCTTCTTAAATATGATATAAGTCAATCCTAAGGGATCCAAAACATCCAACAAAACGACGTACAAGAGTACGGAAACCACCAGATAAACTTAAAAAGCGCCTTGGAACAGAGCCAAGTGGTGCGCTCCATTTGTTTGTTTACAATGATTGTAGTGCTGATGTATTTTTGGGACTCTGAAGGTCGGCTTATAAAAAAATGAAACGTTTTTACGAAAGTTGTAAGGCAAGTAATATTTAACTGAAAGAACTAAAATATTCAAAAGCCAAACACTATGAAATATATGAATCGGAACGAAAAAGTAACCCAAAAATCCAGCCTCATCACCGGCTCCTAAAACTGCAACAAAATCAGCACTTTTCCCCGCAACTCGTTGTCCAGACGTAAATATGCGCGCTTGCCACACGAGAGGGCATATTTACGTCTGGACAACGAGTTGCGGGGAAAAGTGCTGATTTTGTTGCAGTTTTAGGAGCCGGTGATTAGGCTGGATTTTTGGGTTACTTTTTCGTTTCGATTCATGTATTTCATAGTGTTTGGCTTTTGAATATTTTAGTTCTTTCAGATAAATATTACTTGTCTTACAACTTTTGTAAAAACGTTTCATTTTTTTTATAAGCCGACCTTCAGAGTCCTAAAAATACTTCAGCACTACAATCATTGTAAACAAACAAATGGAGCACAAGTCTTGGCTCTGTTCCAAGACGCTTTTTAAGTACATCTGGCGGTTTCCGTACTCTTGTACGTCGTTTTGTTGGATGTTTTGGATCCCTTAAGATTGACTATATCATATTTAAGAAGCATGTGACTGAAAACAATCCGAAGTATCCTGATCCAGGAGGCTGACAGAGGTCCTGAGCAATATCAATATCAAGTTGAACTGGAAGTTATGAAATTTTGGTTGATAAACGCAAGTTGATCGGGCTCATATATCAGCAAAAAAAGTAAAATTAAAAGAGCTTATTGGCCGAAAACAAGCTATACCTAATATTGCAGATCTTGGAGCAATTAACTGAAGAGCACGCTGAGCAGGATCATGCCAGAAAATGTTGACTGATGAGCGCATATTGATGTATTGGTATGAATATTGAATGATAACTTACAACAGCAAGATAAATTAGTGCTAACTATCAAGTTAAAAATCTAGAATGAATGGACTTTGGCAGCTTTACTATGCTTAGATGCTATGCATTGTAATGTGCATCAGGTACCTACTCAGTGTCTGGCAAATGAAACATGTGATCATTCCATTGCTACTGCAACTGGAGGCAGTCGGGCGCACTATGGTATCGGCAGTCCATTTATAGAAACGTTTCTATTTTTGGAAGAAAGTTCCAAAAATGGAAACGCTAAAAACCAACTGTTCCAATAATGAAAACGC